TTTCCATAATCGAAGAAAATTTTAAACTTGACATGCAAGTTATACAAATCTTATACCAAATTGCTATCATTACCTCCCACTAACTTGAATATCAGCTCAAAAATTGTGATTAATTTGTATCCTTTTTTGGGTCGAATCGTATCGTTTGCTTGTAAAAAGAGCAACCCTTCATCTTTTATCTACGAAATTAACATATACTCACAATTAAGTTAAATCTGTGAGGCATGCCGTGTTTGGAGGAAGCAGAGGAAGTCGCTGTGGTTCATGTTGCAGCAGATAAGAACGATGGTTGTATCCAGAAAAAATCCTCAAAAATTAACTGCTAAGGGGTGCAGTTTGAAAGAGTAAAACAAGGGAAGAAGGGACAAAGACAGCGAGGTTGTTGTCTGTCGTCAATGTTGCTTTTTGTTTCTTACTAAAATAGAAACCCCAATATCTGTAGGCCCCTCCAAATTAACCCCTCCTCCATTCCCTCCGCTCCTCTGCAACATGTTCTGTTTTTTCGAACGTTGAAGCTTTCCTCACCAAATTATCGGGTCCCCCCTCTCTCCCCTCCACCCTCTCTCTCACACTCCCAAATCATAAACTCCTTTGGGTACTTTCTGTTTTTTTTCTTTTTTCAGGGGAGAGGTAGTTCCCGAAATTCACAGAGATCTGGGAATTTTCGAGCAGAGGTACTGGAAGTGTGTCCTTTTTTTTTTGGTTTTTGCCTGTGTTTTTCTCATGCATTTGTCCTAAAATTAACTTGTGGGCTCTGTCATTTTGTCACTCTCTCTCTCTAAGTTGCTGCTAGTAGGATTTTTTATCTGGGTTCTGTGGAATTTTTTGAAAATCTTGCAGTTTTGCAATCTGGGTTTTGGACCATTTATTGTTTGCATTAATGGATAACCGAAAGTTTGCACCTTTCTTTGTTGGGTTGGCAGCTTTTTTGTTTATTATTGTCCGTTGTTTACCCTTTGTAATTAGGTTTAGGAAGTTATCAATTGTGTTGAGTGCGTGTTTAATTAGATCTCTGCATATTAAGACACAGATTTCCCACCAAAAAGTCAGAATCTTGAGGGTTGAACGTTGACTTTCAAGTTCCAACTTTCCTTGTCCACTGTTCCTTTGAATTTCTGGGTTATTTGAATTTAAGCATTTGAGAAATTTCATAACTTTTCGACCTTTTCGTGTTCATTGTATTGTGTGCGTCTAAAATTTCATAAATTTGTTGTTTTTGGCAGCATGCTTTGCTAGAAAATGGGGAGGAAAGGGAGTTGGTTTTCTGCATTGAAGAAAGCCCTCACCCCTGATCCAAAGGAAAAGAAAGACCAGGTTTGTTTAATTGGTTTACTTTGATCTTACATCGTGGTTGTATCGAAAATTAATACGAGTTTCTAAATGAAACGTTTGTACTTTCATGCCAGAAGACTCACAAGTCAAAGAAGAGATGGTTTGGGAAGCACAAGAATGAGGATGCGGTATCTTCCTGGGAAAAAACCGCATTTATTATCCCTGCCTCCGCCCCTACCCCCGCCCCTCCTCCTCCCCCAACTCCGCCTCCCAAAGAAGATGTCAAATTAGCTGAGGCTGAGAATGCACAGAACAAACATGTTTACTCTGTGGCACTTGCTACCGCTGCAGCTGCAGAGGCAGCTGTGGCTGCTGCTCAGGCTGCCGCAGAGGTTGTTCGCCTTACAGCTGTGCCCATGCCCCGTTACCCTGGAAAGTCGATGCAGGAGGTTGCAGCTATCAAGATTCAGACTGCATTCCGAGGGCACATGGTATGTTTTATTTGGCTATATTGCTCTCTAGTCCTATTTGGTTTATGTACTTTTGGAAATAAGATGTTTGATTTGTGATAATATGTAAAAGTACTAGAGGATGGTGTGCCTAGTTGTATCGAAGCAGTTGAACTTTCGCTTGGTTGTTCAACTTGAACATGACGAGGGATTTGGCATTCTATAGAATAGGCCTCGAGTTAACTGACTTACCTCTTGTGAGAAAGATCTGATTTTTTTGAATTAATGCCTGCATTGATCAAGGTCAGCTGCCATCTTATAAGGGGACGTTGAATTTAGTAAAGCAGTAAATAACGATCTATTATAATAACTCCAATGCATTTATTCTCCGGCCATGAGCTGTATGTGTTAAATGAGGGTTTGTTGTATGTGATTTTCAGGCACGAAGGGCGTTACGAGCTTTGAGGGGGTTGGTGAGGTTGAAATCATTGCTACAAGGCCAATCTGTTAAACGGCAAGCAACTACAACGTTAAGATGCATGCAGACTCTTGCTCGTGTGCAGTCTGAGATTCGTGCAAGGAGGATTAGAATGTCCGAGGAGAATCAGGCTTTCCAGAGACAGCTCCAACAGAAACAAGAGAAAGAGCTTGAGAAAATAAAAAAAGATTCTGTAAGTTCCCCCAATATTTTATGTTTATATGAGTTGTCCATGAGCTCTCCTGTACAATCATGCCCGTTCAGGTTTTGCTTCCATCTTCTGTTCTTTGAGTTCATCAATTTGTTTCGGCCTCTAGTTTTATATTTATTTCAGGCGTCTTCAATTTTGTGATATGCTAAACTCGTCGTGATAGATGGGAGAAGATTGGGATGATAGCATTCAATCGAAGGAACAGGTCGAGGCAAGGCTACAACTGAAACAAGAGGCTGCTATGAGACGAGAAAGGGCGTTGGCTTATTCATTCTCTCACCAGGTGGTGTACTTTTCCGTTTTGATTATTTTTACAGGATTACAGGAAGCCTATCGTTGGCGATTTTTGAATTCTGATTTTAGATTCTGCTGTGATGAATCTCCTTATTCTTTTTAATATATTGAATTAACCATCTACCTGAAACTGACCCAATAAATCTCTTTGACAGAAGATGAACTCTTCGAAATCTGCACACCCGACCTTTATGGATCCCAGCAATCCCCACTGGGGTTGGAGTTGGTTAGAGAGATGGGTGGCTGCAAGGCCGTGGGAGAGCCGAAGTACAGCAGACTTCAATGACCGGGCCTCCATGAGGAGTGCAGCAAGCCGTGCCTCCATGCCAGTGGGGGAAATCACCAAAGCTTATGCTCTTCGTGATAAGCCTTCTCCTAGGACCCCTACTGCCCTAAGATCAAGCAGGCCTGCCAGTCGCCAATCCCCTACAACTTCTTTCTCCAGGGCACCATCATCAGCATCAGTAACCGGGAGAACCCCAAGAGGATATGGCTGGGGTGGAGATGAGGACTCCAGGAGCACACTCAGCATCCAGTCAGAGCGCTTCAATAGGAGGCATAGCATCGCAGGATCCTCTGTCAGAGATGATGAGAGCCTTGCAAGCTCGCCTTCAGTTCCAAGTTACATGACACCCACAAAATCAACAAAGGCCAGGTCGAGGTTGGCAACCCCAAGCTCAAACCAGTCAGAGAAGAACGGGACACCATCAGAGAAGGGATCAGTGACCTCTGCAAAGAAGCGGCTGTCATTCTCTGCATCCCCAGCTGGACCAAGGAGGCACTCCGGTCCTCCTAGGGTTGATTCTAGCTCCATTAAAAGCCCTCCAGTGCACGAGAGGAAAGGCAGCAGGTAGCTAGTGATCAGTCTAGTGTGAGAGAGTGCATGTAAAATAAAAGCAAGCTTAAGCATGTAACTTAGGTAGATGTCGTTGAGGTGAAGAAGATTGAATAAAAGATTGGCCAGGGCTTTGTTAGAGGGTGGAGGAGGAAGAGAAGAGAGGAAAAATCAACCGGTTTGTGATTTTCATGTCTGTTTCAGTTGTCTTCACGATTAATGTCAACATTTTTTTCTTCTTCTCAAAAACCTTTGTGTTGTTGTGTTTCGGGATCGTCATTTATAATGTTGTAGCATAGGAGGATTGGTTTGTAGGGTTGAATGTTGGTTCATGGTAGCAGAAATATGGTTTCTTTTGTTGTGTGCAGATTGCTGTCGTTTTTTGATATCTTTTGACTCATCACTTGCTTGAGTTTTCAGTGGTATAGATAGTGTTGTTTTTGCCCTTTTCTTTTTGTTAAGCCTCTAAGATTCATCAACACAACCATGAATCTCGTGGGTTTGGAGCTTTTACCTCCTCAAGGCTTCTTTTTCGGAGAAAAACTTCGGTGGGAACTGCCATGCTAAGACTTTTTTTTCGGAAAAAAAACTTCAATGGAAATTGTCGTGTAGCATGGCTGGTTTGAAGTACACACTTTAGAATCAACGACGGTGAATGCCCCATGCAGTTGAACCCTCAACCTTTTTCATTAGAGAGAGGTGGGTTTCCAAAATTCAGTTATTTTCCAAGCAAGGAATTTATTCTCTTTTTTTTTATTTTTTATTTTATTTGTGGAAGCATGCCCCATGTTTTTAATTTGTTAAAAAACGCATTCAACACTTCCACAATCTTTCTAGCACTTTTTGCTAATCGAATCCTAAACTTGCATTTTTCCATATGGAGCGCTCTACTATAGTGACGGAAAATAATTACGTTATACATTCTGATGTAGGTTCGATCCTCACCGCTTCCTCTCTCCTCAAACAATTAACAATCCCATTAACGTAAAAAAAAATCCTCAACTTATTTTTACCATTGGAAAGCATTACTAATATGTGATTTTGATACCCCATTAAGTAGTTATGTTTTGATGACCAAGAGAATATTTCTGTCCATTCAAAATTTTATACCTTGAAATGTAGTGTGTGGGTAATTATTTCAAAGTTGTGTGTTTGTTGAAAACTTATTTTGAAGTCATCTGTGTAATTATTATAAATATGTTTGGGGCTTTTCAAGTAAAAATGTTTTGTAATAGTCAAAAGTGCTTCTAATTAAAAACTTTTAGTTTTTTTTTTTTTTTTTTCCCTAAAAAATTCAGCATATTTATAAGAAAATAATGTAGGTGCTTTTGAGCAAAATACTTCTTACAAAAGCAGTCAAAACAAACTTGTTGGGTGCAAAATGGGCCTAGTCCGTAGCCTATAAACGCGCACATTCCAGAAGTTGTCCGGTGCGTTTAAATGGCGGCTACACGTCGCTATATGATAGGTACCAAAAATTAATGGACGAATTAGAATCTGGGAATTAGGGTTTAGGGATTAAAACATGCTGGGCAGAGCACACAGCTTCTTCTTCCCCAACTCACAACAACCCAAAGCCACAACCAGCTTCGAGAAGCCTCTGAATGAAAGACAAACCGCAAATTCGCAGCTCAGTCACGACACATTCAACGATATGGTGAGCAAAATCGCGTCTTCCCCGCTGGCTCTTTTGTTTTTTCACTCTCCATTTATATTCCCAAATTCAAAATTTAATGTGATTTTGGTACTAGGGTTCGTAAAGTTTTAATTTTTGGAATCGTGGTTGTTTGCATTGAATTTGGGTTTGCTGAAAAATTATGGGTTTGCATTGATAGATTGGTACAACAGGATTTCTACTAAATTTGACTCGTCCTATTGGCTTCCTGCTGTATGTACATGTACATACATACATCCATACATACATAAATGTAGATATATATTTCTATTGGGAGGTTTAGAACAAAAGAATTGTAACGGCCACATGGAGAAAACTGGATCATGGGTTAATCTTAGGAGTAAAATGGTTAAACAACTTCTTCGGGTTCACTAATCCAATTATTTTATCTAATCTTGATAAAATGTCCACATTTTGATATGCATCCTTCCTGTTTTCTGGTCTGATTTGTTAGAAACCTGTGCACATTCAGCGGATGTTCAAATTTGGCATTAAGATGGGAGGACTGTTCTGTCACATGATTCCATGCCCTATATGCATTTGAATCGATGTATCTGTCTCACATGCATATATTGTTTAAAACTATTGTTATCCACATTCAGAGGTCAGGACTGTGTAGTTAGTACCTTCATTTGGTTGTCCAAGTGAGATTTTGCGGTCTAATATTTGGCTCCATGTGTGACTGTTAGATGACGGTGTCTTTGTGCATTGAACTATGTAAATGTTAAATGTGATTCCGAAAACTAGTGGGAGTGGTGTGTGACTGTTAGATGATGGTGTCTTTCTGCATTGAACTATGTAAATGTTATTCCAAAAACTAGTGGGAGTGCACCTTTGTTATGACATGGGGCAAATGGCCATTGGAATAATTGGAGGGGAACGAAGTCGGAAGGAGTTTTATCAGACAAAAAATGCCATTTACATTTAGTTCAGAAAGATTGGAGAGTTAAAATGACAAATTACATTCTGTAGAATTAACGAAATTTTAGATGTACTTCAGGCTACACCATTGTTGGCTGGTCTTGCAGTAGCTGCTACTGCCCTTGCTGGTAGATATGGTATCCAGGCTTGGCATGCGTTCAAGACACGACCACCAAAAGCTAGAATGCGGAAATTTTATGAAGGTGGCTTCCAGCCGACAATGACAAAGAGGGAAGCAGCTCTTATTCTTGGCATCAGGTAAGCAGGATTTTGTAATGTAGAATGCAGGATCTTTTCCTAGCTTATCCATTGCTGTTTATTCATCCATGGTCAAGGAAACTAAAAGGAATATTCTGTTCCTTGTATATAAATTATGAAATTGAATTGTCTACCGTCAAATTATAAGGAAACAACATTTTTTTGGAGAATTAAATAGTAGGTGCTTTTCTGTTTCATCATTTGGTAAGTCTTCATCTCAACCAAAATAAAAACAGAGAATTGATTATTTTCTCGAGTCAAATACCTTGTACTTGACTTGTCTTAGAAGAGATATAGTTATCTGAACCAAGTCAAACTCTAAAAAGAATGAAGATAGGGAAAGGTTGGAGAGTGATACTTGACGCTTTAATGTTGAAGCCGTGCTCGTGTTGTATTCTCCTGTTTTTTTTTTTATTGTTTTTTAAGCAAAATTGATTTTCGTTTGGATGATTTGACAGGGAAAGTGCAGCTGCAGACAAGGTCAAGGAAGCACATAGAAAGGTCATGGTCGCGAACCATCCTGATGCGGGTGGCAGTCATTACCTTGCTTCCAAAATCAATGAAGCTAAAGATGTGATGCTCGGGAAGACAAAGGGCAGCGGATCAGCATTTTGACGCCATTTCGACGCCTTTGAAAATGCCTCGACTTCAAGTAGTGTGCTAATCAGTAAAATGCCCCCCTTCGCCTCCTCTCTCTAAGGTATTTTTGCTGGAATGTACGATCTTGAGAAAAATGGGAATTCCATTGCATCTGTCTGTGTAGGTTCAAATTTTGTTCAAATTGATTGTATTCGAGTTTGTGATATTGAATGCCATAAAAAGAGGGCAAAGGAAAGGCCTTTCAGATGCTTTTAACATACTTTTTGCAGATGAAATGCAATTTGAAACGAAAGGTGATTTCCGCACACTATTTTTCTCCTGTGTAGAAAGAGAAAAGGGGTGTGCAGTGATCTTTGAAATTTATGGATGCAAAGATAGAGCACTCTGGTTTTGAACAATACTCCTATATTTACACATTCGCTCTCTCCCTAACATAAACGAAACAAAAATATTGTCCTAATCTAATCAGATATGGCTACAACCAAAGGGTCGTTTGGTAGACCTGGGTTTAGTTAAGCCGGTTAAAGTAGTGTGCTCCACCCTTTATGCCTAAGTGTAAAACCTGCTCTCTGTAGTTTAGATGAATATAATGTAATTATTGTATCGTTTGTTGAAAAACACAAAAAGAGTATTCTACTAAAAAGTATATATAATACATAAATCGGGTATTAAAAACACATAAGGAATTTGCATATATGTCAAACCGTGATTAATTTGTAAGAAGGAGCTGGTTTGAAAAATAAGATTATTACAAAAAAAAAAAAAAAGTAAAGATTAAAACATGCATACAACAATCCTAATACATTACATGGCAGGTGGCCGTTAGCTACTATAGTGGTCATTGTGCCTTGTGATCAAAGGAGGCAATACCAATAATTAGAGCACACAAAGCAATTGCTTAGAGCATTATATATAAAAATGCTAAGGAAACTCTCTGAAAGTGAATTTTTTTTATAGAATTTCTGTTACCTCAAATTTTAATGTTAATTTATATGCTAATATTATAAAACATTGTGCAAAAAACGTGACAAAGAGTTTCAATTTTAAGAGAATCTCCTCAGCATTTGTCTGCATATATATCCAGTACATATGGATTGCTAAACAGCAAAAGAATCTCCAATTAAGATGTTTGGATAAGTGACAATCACTCAAAAGTTTTATATGTGAAAAGTCCATAGATGTGGCCTTAGAAGTGGTTCTCTATGTACAAACAAATAATGGGGTCATATGCTACACATTCTATTATTTGTTCATATACCTTTGTCAAGACATCACCTTTGGAATATTTGGAGACTACATTTTGATAGATTATACTGTACATCTCTCTTAATAATAGTGGTACAATGTACATTATACCGTATACCTCTATTTGAAAGGTGGTACAATGTAGTCTATCAAAATGTGGTAAATATTCTTACTGGATAGCATGAAAAGTGTAAAAATAATGATTGAGTCAAACCTTCCAAGTTGTCTAAACTACTTATTAATATAACTCTTTTTATTAATTAAAAGAAGGTGAAAAACTATTTAATCTTCTATCACGGAAAAAAATGATGGGGAATAATGTAACTTTACAAAACCAAATTTTGCTGTTTTTATTGAAGCCTCGCGTACCTGTGGTTTTAGTATATATCCAATATTATAAAATAAAGAAAAAAAACGAAAACTTTTATTCCCACTCCCACTCCCACCTTGTCTATGTAACTCTCTCCTTTCCATTTAAAAAACAAATTAAAAATATTCGCACACATAAAATGTGTAGGCATGTACTAGTTTAATTATATGTTTTCACTTAATAACATGAATTAATAATAATACGTATATTTCTTACTTTTAAGTCTCAGTGACTTTATCAAATGAGCAGACAAAAATTGTGTTATTATTGGTTTGTACAGTTGATGAATGGCGAGAAATCAAGTGTCATTTGTTTTTTTTAATAATTTATTTATATTTTCAGATTTATGAAAATTTTTGTCGAGCTTTTGATCGACCAATTATCTACCCCCCCTAAACTACCACAAACCACGAGATTCTAATTCAAAATCATAACAAATTTTTTGGTTGTTTATTACAATTTAGATATATAAATGGATAAAAATTTGGTTGGTTTTTTGAGGATTTTAAAAATTGTGAATTACCTTTCTCAAAAAAAAGAAAAAAGAAAAAAACTAATTGTGAATTACAACAAAAACTGGGTGGCAAAACCAGAAGAACCCACGAGCTCAATGCAGTCCTGACGTCACCTTTTATCCATTCAGCATTCATTATCCGATAAATAAGATTACTACAAAAACCAAATAAATAATTAAATAAACACAAAATTAAATTCAAAATATAAGAATAAAAAATTGCAAAAATAGATAGGCCTGGTCTTTAGCTCCCTCTTGTTCTTCACTTCTGGTTTGTTTTTGTTCATCTTCTTCTTCCTGCTCCTCCATCCGCACCCAATTCCTCTCGCTCCCAAATGAAACGCAGATTCTGTCCAAGCCCATCAAAATCTGCAGTCTTTATCTGAATCTGGGCACCCCTTTTTCTGTTTTGGGCACCTGCTTACCGTTTCATATGGCTTTCAATCCGTTTCTGCCATGAAGAAGTTGGCTCTCTCAACTCTGAAAGGTCGACAGAAGAGAAAAGTGGAGGGATTTGAAGCTGATTGGAGAAAAATGGAGCAACCCATAATGCGCACGTAGGGTTTCGGCGTTTCGGATTCAACGGTCGGTGCACCGCTTCGTATTCGATCTCATCCGGTTGGTCCACAGTTCTGTATGGTGTAGTTCTTTTAATCTATGCTGTTTTATTGAAGAATTTAATCGGTGTTTGCTAAATTTGGAAGAAAATTTGTGTTTTTTTTTGTATGCTTGTGTATGTAACGGTGATTGTGGATTGAAGTTTGGTGGTTACATATATCGGACTGAGAATTTTGAAGTGGTGTTAGTAATGGTGTCTGCGAATGACCCGATCGAATCGTTTTTCAATTCGATTCAGCTGGTTAAGGAAGCGCTTTCGCCGCTCGAATTGGGCGTTCGAAAAGCGGCCAAGGACTTTGAGTGTTGCTGGGCAGGCCATAAGAATAAGTTAAATGCTGCTGAATTTGTTACCCAATTCAGTGGTGGTGATAACAATGGTAAAGTTAAGATCTTTGGGGGAAAGAAGAAAGCTGGTGACTGTGTGATGGTTGGCGAGGAGAGAAAGAAGGGAATGTTGGTTAAGGTTCCGATAAAGGCGTTATTTGGGAAGTTTTCGCCAAATTCGGGGAATGGAAATCGACCTGAGTTGTCGAATAGTGAGTTGAGAGAGAAGGATTGTGATAAGGAGGATGGGTCTTGTGCGAATTGCATGCAGTTTGCTGTCACTTGGTCTGTGTTAGTTAATAGTTTTGTTCAGGCATTTCCTGGTCCATTCAAATTGGGTAAGAAGCGGGTCCAGAAAATGAGCGATGACGACAAAGCGTGTTCTTGTAAAAAGCCAAAGGTTTTAGGTAACTTGAAACAGAGGGAGTCTACGGAACAAAATGTTAAAATGATTCAGAATGAAGCCGTGTCACATGAAGAAGGAAAACATGTATCACTAGAATGCCTTCTTGGTTTTGTTTTTGATCAACTTACTCAGAATCTTCAGAGGTTTGATCAGGGTGTTCAAGAGAGTGATTGTAAACCTTGTGATACTTCCAGTGAGCCGCCCTCTTCCTCTCAGAATGACCATTTCAGGGTGATCGCGGGTTTGTTTGAAGGTCGAAAAGCAGATGTAAATGGGTTTTTGGGAAACTTGACGTTTGCTAGAGTGGGAGGAGTGCCATCAGGCGTTGTTGGAGTATCGTCTTCAGTTGATGAAGAGGGTGATGAGGATGTTACTGCAAATAACCCGGCAGAATCAGCTGGCAATTCACCACAGAAGCTTGCTAGCGATATACTTAATATTCCCCTATCAAATGTAGAGCGTTTGAGATCCACGCTATCCACCGTTTCATTCACCGAACTAATTGAACTTGTACCTCAGCTGGGGAGAACTTCTAAAGACTATCCTGACAAGAAGAAGCTATTCTCTGTCCAAGATTTCTTTAGATACACAGAGTCTGAAGGTATGTTGTCTCTGGTAACTTTGGCACTTGCTACTAATTGTGGAAATGCATGTTGTTTCGCCTAGAAATTGATGCTTGTTTTCGTAAAAGAAAAAAAATTCAAAAAGGAAATTTATTCATGCTGATTTTTAGTCTTTCTATGAATTGAATTTGTAATATCAAAGCTATACGATGACATTAACTTTTTCATTTCCATGTCTGTCCTTATTGTCGAAGGAGCCTTTATTTTGTCCACTGCCTTTATGTACCTGATGCTTCTGTGATGACTGGATCAGCTTAGCTTACCTTTGGATAGGATTATCAGTAAACAAAGAAAGATATTGCCCTGTTGTTTATTGTTGAATTCTCGTAATATATACTCATACTGACTTAAATACTACATACACAAATACATGCATAAATAATCTCTTAGTGAGGCCGTTTCTTACTGAATCCTGTCTAAGAATTTATTTATTTTCCACTCATAGTATGTACGCGTACACGTGTTTCTATATTGGTGTGAAAAATTTAGCTATAAGATACTTTAACCATGGTTTCTTTAGTGAAACACGTGTTTTAAAGTTACAAGTTGATTGATTCAAGATGTTCCTGGATTGCAAATACCATCCTTAATCAGCGTGCCTCTTCTGCAATTGTTTATGTTCCCTTTCTCATAGCTTTAAAAAAAAAAAAAAACTACTCTTTACTGGCTTACCATGTTATAATTAGTGGAGGATACTAGTTAGTTTAAGATAATTTGTTTGATGATTATCTTGTCAATGCATGCTAGTCATAAAAGAAAAAAAAGGTAGTAAGAGACCAACCTAATACAAATCTAAGAGAAATCATCTTATTTTCAACTTTGTCAAATTCATATGAGCTTTGCATTGGACGAAATAAATTAGCACATTACATGAACTCCATAAATGAAGGCCCTCATAACTTGTCCATCCAATATCTTACTTAGGAATAATTGTAAGGGCATCAACTATCCTGAAAAGTACGTAGAGCATTGATGGACCGAGATATAGCAATATGATAATTAAGGATGTGTTAATATTTGTCTGAATTTTTGAGAATGCCAACAAAATGCTTGCACTTTTCAAGTGATACAAAGCATTGTTTTGGCATCCATAAACTTTCCATTGATACCTTTGAGTGGGAGAGCTAAAGTAATTGTCACCCATCTTTACCTAATTGCTATATTTGATAGAGTGATGAAGCTCTTAAATAGTTTGTTTGTTTGGCCTCATCAAATATGTCCTCTTTCTTGTAAGTTATTTCATTAACACATTTTACACCATGAACGTGTCTAGGAAGGAGATTCTTTGAAGAACTGGATAGAGATAGTGATGGGCAAGTCACTCTAGAAGATCTCGAAATTGCAATAAGAAAGAGAAAATTGCCACGGAGATATGCTCATGAGTTTATGCGCCGTACTAGACGTCACATATTTTCAAAATCATTTGGTTGGAAGCAGTTTTTATCCTTGATGGAACAGAAGGAACCAACCATTCTACGAGCATATACTTCTTTATGTCTGAGCAAGTCTGGAACACTGCAGAAAAGCGAGGTGTTGGCCTCACTTAAAAATGCAGGACTTCCAGCTAATGAAGACAACGCTGTTGCTATGATGCGGTTTCTCAATGGTGATACAGAAGGTTCTATATCTTATGGACATTTCAGGAATTTTATGCTCTTACTCCCTTCTGATCGACTTCAAGATGATCCTCGGTAAGATGGATTTTTCATTCAGTTAGTTTCCCTTTTTAAGTTCAGGTGATGTCAGACTGGTTTTTCTGTTGAAACCTTCCATGGTTGGTTCCTGGATATAGTGTTGTTATAGCATGGAGTTTGATTTAAGTATTGATTATTTGTTTTGTTTCATTCTGGGTCTGAAATGGTAACTGTTCCATTCTTGGTAATTGATACATTTATGCGGAGAATGAATTTTCAATGAATTAGTAAAGCAGAATAAATTGAAATTCAGAAATAATATCCATGTATATTTAAGAAATTCCCAGTTGGCCAGTGTTCACAAGTTAGTAGGATACTCCTAGCTGACAGTAATTTCTTTCAAAATACATACAGGAGTATCTGGTTTGAAGCTGCAACCGTTGTTGCTGTTGCACCACCAGTGGAAATACCTGCTGGAAGCGTACTACGGTCTGCATTAGCAGGGGGGCTTGCTTGTGCTCTATCTACTTCTTTAATGCACCCAGTTGATACTATTAAGGCAAATTTTTTGTACTAGGAACTTGTACTCATGTGCTCGGAGTTAAAAATTTCTGTAATCGGTGATGCTTCTCTTTAGTCTTCTCTCCTAAAATGCATCATTTTTTACATTTGGCAGACTCGAGTACAAGCATCAACATTAACGTTCCCTGAAATTATTTCCAAGCTTCCACAGCTTGGAGTGCGGGGATTATACAGGGGCTCAATTCCTGCAATTCTTGGACAGTTTTCAAGGTTTTTTTTTCTGCCCCCTTCCCAACCATAATATTATAAAGATGAATTAGCTATTTTAGCTAAATTTTGTGTAATTCTCTACCTTCTGGCTGATTTGTTATTGTCACGTTACAGTCATGGCTTGCGAACTGGGATTTTTGAGGCAAGTAAACTTGTGTTGATAAATGTTTCTCCAACACTCCCGGATATACAGGTACTGATTGGTATTTTACTATATGTTTTGTTGTTTTTCCTCCCTCGTTGGGGACTAGCATCATACTTCCATTATGCCTCTGAAAATCAAAATACATTGATATCTATTTAAGCGAATGCAGGCTCATTTTGTCTGTTCATTCTTTTCATTTGTTCTAAAGATATTAAATTATAGTTTATTTCTACCTCTCCACAATTCTCAAGAAGACTTCATCTACTTAAAATTACTGCTTTTCCATCTTAAGTAAGTACTAAGAAGTAAGAACGGCTTCTTAAAGAAGTAATTAACCATCCTACTTTGTAGTCTGAAAAAAAAGTTAAGTGTCATGTCTTTTACTTTTTTTCTTCTTCGTATGATTACAACTATATCAGATAGCATGGTGTTTGCTACCCAAAGTAAAAAAGTAATAAGTATGGCTCTGTTAGAGCAACTTCAACTGGTAGTTTCCCTATCCTTATGCAAACATTAGTACCCTTTGAAAATGGTTCTCGTGCTGTTGCTGGCTTGCTCCCCCCTCCCTCCCCTTCATTCTCCCTTTCGAGCATGTGCTATGCCCAATCAAAACAACTGAATTTAAAGTCTGTTGTAGTTCCAATAAGGGAAATATGAATTTGACGTGGGTGGCAACGGGTCTGTCTGATGCATCTGCCACTCTTTTTTATTAATTCTGTTTTGAAACAGTATAAAATTTATGTTTTGGCATCTTAATAGGTTCAATCTATAGCATCATTCTGTAGCACATTTTTGGGAACAGCAGTGCGAATTCCTTGTGAGGTGTTAAAGCAGCGGTGTCAGGCTGGCCTTTTTGACAGTGTCGGGGAGGCTCTTGTGGGCACTTGGAACCAAGATGGTCTTAAGGGTTTCTTTCGTGGGACTGGTGCCACTCTTTGCCGTGAAGTTCCGTTTTATGTCGCTGGCATGGGGCTGTATGCTGAATCCAAAAAGGTAAGTATTTTCATATGCAACCTTCCTTTCTAGGCACAAAATTTATCTTCCTCTCTTATTTACCTTTTGAACGTGCAACTCTAAGATCAGGGTTCTTTAACCTAAACATGAAGCCTGCTGCTCAAATTGCCTAAGTTGCATCCCTAAGATACGAACTAAAAAAGTTACAATTTTCATTTTGGGAGAGGGCAAAGTTTGGCTACAATATGTTCATTTTTTTATAGAACTACCTAGCAAAACTGGAAAAGGAAGATTTTGAAATTTAATATGACTCGACACAACTCATGCCCAAATACAAGTTACCATGGCATTTTGTGGCGACGATGATAGCTAACGGCTGTGCGTTAATGCCATGCGTTCTGGGATTTGGCTTTCGTCTTCTATAGTGTTGTTCCACTGCTAAATCCTGTTCTTCATATCAACAATTAATTATTTATTTTTAACATGCTTATCTTGTTTTGAGTGTAATTAATATGTATATATATAACGGTAATTAGTTTGATAATAATTTTGATATGTTTTCATTAGTTGACTGTTTTTCTGTTTTAGGCTGCCCAGCAATTTTTAGGGCGGGATCTGGAACCTTGGGAAACAATTGCAGTTGGGGCATTATCTGGCGGGTTAGCAGCTGTTGTCACCACACCATTTGATGTGATGAAAACAAGAATGATGACCGCTCCACCGGGTCGACCTGTGTCAATGTCAATAGTGGCCTTCTCTATACTACGGCACGAGGGACCGCTTGGCTTATTCAAAGGAGCGCTACCCAGGTTTTTTTGGATTGCTCCGTTGGGTGCCATGAACTTTGCAGGCTATGAGCTTGCTAGGAAGGCCATGGACAAAAATGAGGAGCTAAACAGCGAGCAGCTCCAACAAAAGAAGTGATGAGATTACTATCTACCGCACCATCTCCCAGTTGTTTTGAAATTAAAGCAATTATATGCTGCCGGAAATTTTCGACTTTTTTTTTCCCACATTTACCGGCAGCATTTGCTTGAAATTTCCATCCGACCTTTTTGCTTCGTGGGTCAGAAATTGTACTTGCCCAGTTCCATAGGTTATGTTTTGAACTTTTTTGGTCTTCCGGCGATGACAGTGGAAATGCCGTTGACGTTATTTTGTACTTAATGAATTATACACAGTTTTGTACGCTCTGTGCAGTTTGTACCGTCATTCTCTCTCCGTTATACATTTAACCAGAATGTCTAAATGTACATGCCATTTTCCATTAATGATGGTTTTCTTTTATCGCTCTGTCTGTTTCCTTTTGTACGGACTAGTATATACTCATGACGAGTGTGTTCGAAAATTCAAGATTACATCAATGTGTGATATACATTGCAGATTGAATGTTCGCTAAAGAATCCTCATTAAAATAGTGGGTGGAGCATACAATGCAATGTGTTGGTGCATAAAAACGGGTCGGTCTTGGTCCAACGTAAATCCGATCATAAATTACACACACACACACGAGACCACAAAGATATATGGTGGTTCATCTCAAGTTGGGGTCATGTCCACACTGGTGTCGATCCGGTTTCACCATGTAAATTGAGGGTTACAATGCACGTGGAGGCTATAGAGGCTAGAATTTGCTCTCCTTGCCCTCCATCTAAAGTGAGGGTGAACTATGAAGGATCCTTTTATAGTATAAAAGTTTCTGCATCTCTTACATGAATCATGGGCTAAGTAATGAGACCCAAATACTGAGGCCCAATATATGGTACAACACAATGTAGACTACATATTTGTATGCCTGGATGCAAACTCCAGAAATACGGTGAATGTATACTATACATTGACGTGTAGTCTATGCAACAATACAGAGAAAAAAGAATGTCAAATGTACGAGTAAGGATCAACTAGCTCTTAATTTAGTACTTCTTTGTCAAAGTTAGAAGTTGAAGGGGTGCCTTCGGGAAAATGGACACAGTAGTGAACGTTTGTTGTCAGCTCATGGCTTAAGAGCATCTCCAGATAAATGCCAAATGTTAATTTGATGGCTGATGTGGCAATATTAGATTTTATCTTTTTCCAACCGATATGTTTTTTTTGTTATAATTAATATTTGTAGGACGCATCTTAAATAGAAATCAATTAAAATATAGTTTCAAGATCTATAATTAGTGCATTAATGGGACCTACACAATAAAGTAATTAAAAATTATTTGACATCACCTTTTCTCATATGTGAATCCACATAGGATTAACATATCGGTTAAAACTTGCCCCTACTTTCAAATTTGATTACATGACGTTCCACTTAGGATTTAACATCTCATTTGAAGATGTTCTAAGGTGTTGGGTTAACTCCCAATTTAGTTACCATCGTTGAGTTTGGAACCCTCAACAGACTGCCGGTGACCCCAAGTTAGAATCTCCTCTTGTTAATGCAAGAAAAGAGATTAAGTATTTCTCGGCCACAACAACCAAATGAAAAGCAATACGGTTGAACCTACAATGCTGTCACGTCTTCATAAGATTACAGGCATGGAGAGCGCTTGAAGGTTTCAGGCATAAAATCGAACCAGAATCAGGCTTTACAAGAGCCTCCCCTCACAAATCCAATGGAATACAAAGAAATCGATACGAAAACTACATTCGACTCATTTGTAAATGGAGAAACATTGAATATATAAACAAAGCTCTGAATGTAACAGAAAGCATTCCACAATTCTGGATACTGCCATTATGTAAATGTAACGAGATGCATTCGCCTACTGGAAAACAAGCCCTCTTGACGGGGTTCTATTGAAGCTCAAATTCTTCAAACCGAAAGTAACCAGATTACAAAGAAAATCATTTTGGTTATCCTCATTATTAAACAGAAGGGGGAAACACGACGCGACCGTTCCAGAAATATTGCCAAATAGTGAAACCTTGGATGTCATCAATAGCCCCAGTAGTCATTTCGGATTTCATCATCGAATTTCTTCTTCAGCTCGGGATGCTTCTCAAAGTACTCATCTGCGGTCATTGTGCTTATCTTTTTCTGTTCACATAAAAACAATTGCTGTGAGAAACTGTATATTCTACAATTACAAAGTCAGCATACGACTATTTCTTTCCATTACCTTCAACTCTTGCACTTCAACTATCTCTTTCTCCAAACGCTCCGACTCCTTTAAAGATTTCTCCTCGGCTTCCTTTAGTTCCACCAACTGTACTCCACAGAAACATAACACCTCAGAAAGTTAGACTGAAGGACAGATGAAGGTAGAGATAAAAGAGAGACAGCAAGAAAGAGATAACTAACCAATTGATCAAACTTAGGCTTGTACTGAGGTGTAACTGTGTCTACATACTTTGGGATTTCAACGCCTGCAACAATTTTGTTGTTTTACTTTTAGATAAGAAATATGCATACGAAAGTGACAATATAAATAAGCAAACTAAACAAGGCTAAATGCTAATACTCCGGCATTGTCTCTCTCTCTCTCTCTCTCTCTCTCTATAGTATACACTATACACCCATCATTCTTATCAACTCAGCTAACTACACAAGTTTGATAAACACCAACTCATCAAGAAAGAGTGTCTGATTTTATATCGTTAATCAAGCACTGAAAGTATCGTGGTTACTAAATATATGAGAATAGAACCACAAATTCAAATTTAAACAATAGCACTACAACGTCTTATTTATTGGGCACAAGATATTTCTCAAAAGACTACAAATCGTTATCAAATACCACGTGCCAAGTTTTCAGCTCAAAGCAAGATGCAATTGCATGAAACAAAACAAAATAACACAGGCATTACACTTGTTGAATGCATCCATTCATCAAGTCAGAAGACATACTGTCATAAGCCTCCTTGTACATATCCACCAACCGAGACCCGATTCCTTTCCTGTAGTACTCCCAGTCTATGGGTTCAGGCTCCTGCACAAAATGAGAAGTGGGAATCAGAAAATATATTGAAAATCATTACAGTAATGTCAAAAAAGTGAAATAAATGCACCATAGGCGCAATAGAAATCTTCACAAAAACACAATTATGTAAAAACCCATACATAATTTACCATTTCGACATGATTTCCCATATAATTAGTTGCTAAATACAAAATTTCCAATCCCAATTATCCGAGGCCATCGATTCAAATCAAATTTAACAGCTTAAAAGGCTTACACCAAAAATTCAAATCAGTATTCAGCATAGAAGTAATGAAATCTGACAAATTCGAACCAGCCCATTTTACAAATCAATCAAATAATACCTAACAAACAAACAAAAATCCATAATTTAACAAAATACAATCAAATCAGTAAAACCCAGATGAACAAACAAAGAAATGAAGCAAAAAACAGCTAGAAATCAAAGAGATCTTAGAAAAAACGATGAGAGAGATTGAGAGATGGGTTCGTAGGGACCTGGCTGAACTTGGTCTGGAGGGTAGTGTTGACCTCGTCGAAGGCGCGACGAAGAGAGGCGAACTCTTTGCGAGCCTCATCGGAGACGAGGAGCTTGGCCATGCCCTCCCAGTCGATGTTCCTCGAGGCCTTGAAAGCCACATCGGCCACTTTCTTCCCGGCGCCGCTCATTTTCTCTCTCGCTTTCTCGCTGGCCAAACAAATGTGGAATCAGATGATCGGATGCCCCTTTTGTTGCTGTTCCTTTTGCTGCTGCTTCGGCCGAAGGGAGACGCGTTACACTCTCTATAGTTCTGGTGGCTTTTGGGTTTGGAGTTGTAGGTCATGGGCTTTGCTTCTTGTTATTTGGGCTTGGAGGCTTAGTTGTGGTTGTGGTTGGTTGGTGATTAATTGGGCTTCTAAAGCCCAATTATTTTTACCAAATGTTTGACCCAAAAAAAATAGATTGGACATACTATCCCCCATAAACATGACCGGCCCGCTATATTCTTATATTAAAAGAGAATTTTTGCTTACCACCGTAACTATAGTATATGCTCATCACACCCTTAATCATTTGTCACGTGTCAAATTAGTTAGAGCATATATGCTTTTGATATAGGATGAACGAGCACTTACGAAATGATATGCTTTTGATATTGTGATTGTAGACAAATTGGTTAGAGCATCGTCTTTCTACTGTCTAGAGATAGAATACATGAAAAACAAAGAACATAAGCTTGAGTTTTTACATGGAAGTTGTTCATTTTTATCTTCAAATCACAGTTAGATACGTATACAGAAATACAAAAGCAACCTATTAATCATAGAAGTCGGTATTAATATGATTTAAAGTTATTCCTCTCTAGTTGTAAGCTCTTAGCTTCGAATCTCTCTTGTATAATTAGTTTGATACTAAATTATGATAAACTTACTGTGTTGCTTAGTCCAAATTCTTCTGCCACCACCAAGTATTTTCCAATCGGAATTGGTGAGTCTAAGTCATGATATTGGTCTTGATCTTTGGTTCACCTGAGGCACGAGGCAAGTCAACTAGTCAAGATTCAAAATCCAGTCCAATAAAACGGTGGCAGTCATCTGGTGACTATGATCAATGCATCAAGCTTGTGTGCAGTTTGTTCTAATAAGTAAACACTTGTAATAGTGTCTCAATCTTTCAGTCTCATCAGTCACAACAGAGTGATGTGGGGAAGAAGGTAGGTGGAAGTTGCTATGATTTCACAACAGAGGGACATGGGGAAGAAGGTAGGTAAAGCGTTTGTAAATGGGTTTTCTAGTCTGAACTCAAGGCTCGTAAACTTATAAACGATAAAAGAAGAAAAAATTATTACATAACGAAAGGTACTCTAACATAAGAACAAATCAAATTGTTAACTTAAAACTTTTTCCTGACGGCATTGTTTAAGGATAAAGACGGTTGTACTCGACCAAGGCTTTTAGTTTCTTAATTTGTTCGGCCTTTGGCCGCCATGTAACACTAGAAAAAGAAAAAACACTTACAAAAGAAATGCATGATAAAAAATTCAGAGTAATTAAGAAGCGGAAATTCTAGAAGACAAAATGTTAATTACGCGAGTCTAGCTCATTAGATTTAGTTAACTTATTTTAAATTAGGGTTTCTTGTAATCATGTAACTTAGAATGTATAGCCTACCATGTAATTAACGTAAACTTATATATATATATATATGCTTCTTCATGAAGAAAGAGAAACACAATTCAATAATTCACACAAACTTTAGCACGCAATTTCGTAAGTGATCGTTCATCCTATTCCTATGTTGAAGTCAACCCCAAAGAATTTGAGAAACAGAACTGCAATTGCTTACAATCTTTTTCATCATGATTCGAGGTACGAAAAATATGTGCTACTGATAATGAAACATGTCTCTGAATACCGATGGGCCAAAAGGATCTTCGTGAACAACGTTGGCATGTTATAGCCGGCAATTAAAGTACAAGACTTTGAATAATGAAGGTTGGTGGTCCTTAGTTCCCGGCCTATGGCTACCCTTCTAGTCTCTTCTTCCTTGTCATCAACTGATGAATGCACTACAAAAAATATGGGCACTGCACACAATAAATTATTTGTGCCATTTGAGGCCAAAGAGCACCAACATATGTGCTCATAGACCAATAGCAACAATGCAGCAACTATATTTGTATATGTGCCCTCTATGGGCGTTACCTTTGATTAGAGGGCACGATATGACTATTGGTGCTCAAAGGGTTGAGCACAGATAAGGGATTTTTTCTGCCCTGCTCTGACACCTGTGTTAGATGACACTTCAAATTCATGTTAGCACAATTTTATAATTGTGCCCTATGAGTTAAATCAAGGTTCAAAAAGACGCTAGACGCTAGTCGGACGGCAAGAAGGGGCCTAGCGCCTAGACGGATTTAAGTTAATTTAATATAAAATTTAAATTTATTATATAAATAATATGTTTTTTTAAAAATAATATATATATATATATATATATATATATATATATATATATATATATATATGTAATGTTATGGTTTTTAATATAAATGGTCTTAAAAGGAAAAGGAATAATAAAACAAGACAAAAATATTTAAAAGGTAAAAAATGATGATTGATTTGGGTGAGAAAAGAAACAAAAGAATATTGACCCAAAAAAAAAAAAAACAGAAATATAAGACCATAAAATAGTGGAAACGTGGAACCAAACAGGAGTAGTGGGACCATAAAGACCACATTTGTCGATTTAAATTGAAAAAAAAAAAGATGGACCCCACCAGTCATCTTCTTCCTCTCGACTATGCAACCTGACCTATCTAGATTCAAATTTTTTCCTGCTTTTGGCGTCTTCAAATACGGCCGACTAGACTCTGCCCAGCCCCGTCCAGCCCCTTGCAGACCTGCATAGCTCCGCCTAGACCTACCTAATCCCGCCCAACGTCCGTATAATATTTTCTTCGATTTTGCAACCGATAACGAGTTAATCGGGGCAGTTGGTCTCCGCCTAGCTCCTAGGTGCCACCTAGGCCGATTTTTAGAACACATAGTTAAATATTAAAAAAAACATCATCGTAACACCTTACAACTTGAAACAAACATTTGAAAACACCAGATCAGAATAGGAAAATATTGCTCAGTTTCTTTTCTTGACATATTAGACTCAACCAAGTAATCAACACTATAAATTAAAGAAAAAACAAGGCAACAATTTCAAACGTATATTCTTCCTTTCAGCCATTCATCCTTCAGTGGAGGCGTCTATGCTCCATGCGCCATCCTTAGCAGTACCATGCACAACTTTACGCGTGCGATTACGACCACCGCCTGCAGCTACACTAAGGGTTTTAGAATCCGTTTTGGGTCCAAAACAAAATCAATTTCAGCAATTCAAAAGCCCAAAAAGAGCTACAAAGGTAAGGATTCAAAATATACATTCCTCAGGGCCATTGGGCGGTCGGTGACAGCCTAAAATCAGCCTGAAACTTGCGGGCCTCACCGGAAATCTGGGGAATTTCTTCCGAGTTGAAATTACATCCAACCATAAACAAATCAGGCGTGCAGTGCACAAAAAAGTCTCTAAACAATCTAGAGAACCTAACTAAGGTGTTCCTGACAGGGGTGGGCCCCGCTGTCAACGGTTTGTCAGCCACCCAATGCACTCCAGTGGCTACATTTTCAATCCGATGGTTGGTTTTCACGGGTCGTTGGTTGATCCAACGGTCCAGATTCAAATTTGATTTTTTTAAATATGTTATTTTAAAATACATTGAATCCAACGGCTGAGATCGAATATAATCAAATCTAACAGTAAAAAAAAAAGATCTAACGGCCCAAATGTGACATCCCACATCGCCCAGGGGAGTGATCCTTAAATGTATATTCCCATCCTTACCTAGCACGAGGCATTTTGGGAGCTCATTGGCTTCGGGTTCCGTAGGAACTCCGAAGTTAAGCGAGAAGGGGGCTAGAGCAACTTCGAGAAGGGGGCTAGAGCAACTTCGGGTTCCGTAGGAACTCCGAAGTTAAGCAAGAAGTTCCGTAGGAACTCCGAAGTTAAGCGAGAAGGGGGCTAGAGCAACTTCCAAGTGGGTCACCCATCATGGGATTGCTCTAGCCCCCTTCTCACTTAACTTCGGAGTTCCTACGGAACCCGAAGCCAATGAGCTCCCAAAAGGCCTCGTGCTAGGTAAGGATGAGAATATACATTTAAGGATCACTCCCCTGGGCGATGTGGGATGTCACAATCCACCTCTTTAGGGGTCCGACGTCATCATTGGCACACACGCGACCAGGGTTAGGCTCTAATACATAATTGTCACATCCCGGCCGGGGATGAATCACTTCCTGGGCCGACTCCACTACCGTAGCATGATATTGTCTGCTTTGAGCTTACCATTCCCTCACGGTTTTGTTTTTGGGAACTCACGAGCAACTTCCCAGTGGGTCACCCATCATGGGATTGCTCTAGCCCCCTTCTCGCTTAACTTCGGAGTTCCTACGGAACCCGAAGCCATTGAGCTCCCAAAATGCCTCGTGCTAGGTAAGGATGGGAATATACATTTAAGGATTACTCCCCTGGGCGATGTGGGATGTCACACCAAATTTAAATCCAACGGCTAAAATAATTTAAAAAAATTATTTAACTCAAAATTCACCCAAAAGCTCTATAAATACCTATGTATTTGTTCAAACATCCACACAAAACTCAAATTTCTCTTACAATTCTTCTAATTTATCTTTCTACTATTTCTTTCCATTTCCAAATTGAGTAGGAAATCTTGGACGCTCGATGAAATAATCTTTCATCATTCGGTCATGACACTCTTCTCTATCACACTGCACATATGAACGCCCCGTGACAGAACCACGATGGCTAATTTCGCCATGGTGCTCAGATTGCATAAACGAGTTGATAAGTTCAACTTCAGCATTGAACAATTTTGCATCTTCAATCTCGATCCTTGCTTTGTATTGTGCCATCTGCATTGCCATGCTACGCCTTCTTCTATCACCCATTGATGAGATATTGAGGATTTTTAGGAAACAAAAACTCTTTGAAAGTTGAAATATTGGTGAATATAGAGGATGATTGAAGGTTGAAGGGTTGTGTGATCAACAAATATTGGACATATGTTTATATAGAGGATGATTGATGAAAGTTGAACGGTTGGTGAAAATTGAAAGTTTGGTGTTGAACGGTTGGTGAAAGTTGAAAGTTTGGTGTTGAACAGTTGGTGAATTGAAAATCTGGTGTTGAAAGGTTGGTGAATTGAAAGTTAGCTCAGGGTTGAATGATTGGTAAAAGTTGAAAGCTTACTTTGTGGAAAATTTAGTGATTTTTCAATATTTATTGGAATTAAAATTTTTTTAGATTAAAATGTTCATAAAATTAATATGATAGTCTACATATTTATTTATTTTTTTTTTAAATTTAATTTAAGAAAAAAAATAGCCTAAGTTCATTCTTTAATAATCATTGGCTCAAATTTTAGGCCAAAACGGTTGGAGCAGAAAAACTATTTATGGGCTAAAAACTAAATTTTTCGGGCTAAAATATTTGGCTTTTAGCCTAACCATTGGAGACAGTCTAACAGTGTTTAATTGTTAGAGAACAAAAATTATGACAAATTTTTCTTTTGTAATTTTCAAGTTGTTAAAAAAAACATGTAGACGGGTGAAAAAAAGGATAAATGGGTAAAAAAAGGATAAACGGGTTCAAAAGAGGGTAAACGGGTAAATGATTATGGTTAAATGGGTACACGGTTATGAGTATGGTTAACTATATATAAACGGTTATGGGTATGAGTATAACCATTTATGCAATTACACCCAATGGGTAAACAGTTATGCGGGTATGAACCTAAACGGTTATGGGTAAATAACCGTGGTTTCCTGCCTGCCATAACCATTACCTATCCCTACACAAGAGTATCTCCCTAGTGACATTTGTAAGACACTTAGAATTAGTAAGCGTTAGTTATGAATTCCACATTATTGCGTTCTTTGTATATGTAAAATGGAATTGTAACCATTATTATATCATTCATTCAGTATATAGAAGAAATTTAGAGATGGTTTACTCTTTATTGCTTGACTTTCAGCAAAAACCTCACCGTCAAGGCCTTTTTGGTCTGCTCGAGTGCATTGAAATGGAGGCATGCATATCTAAGCTTCTTCTTCTTCTTTGTTGGACCTCTGGTCCTCATATGTACTACTACCCCAAAATACAATGGTGGCCATTTTCTTTTCTCCTTGCATTAAGATACTGGGATACGTGTTGATGCATATAAATGAATCAAAGAAGATAAATAGACAAGAAGTAAATTGATTACGCAAAAACAATCGACGGACTGAATAGCTCATACAAACACAAGATGTATGTGGTTCACTTCTAAAGACTACTTCACACAGTTAGAGTATGTTTTCATTATATTAATCAGTGTAATGTTACTGAATTCAGTTTTATTCAACCAAGTTTTAAATTTGGTCACATGAAGTTGGTCATGGAATGGTTAACCATAATAGTCATTGTGTCCCGGGTTCAAATTCTCTCTTCTATTTTTAATGTAGCTTAGAGTATTATTATCGCTTGTAATAAGAAATAATTATGACATTGTGAGTCTGTGACATGAGATCTGGATAGCTGAAACTTAGAAGAAGCTGAAGGTCAAGAGAAAGTTTGACAATGCAAATACATCACCACATGTATATAAAATTAGGTTACCAAATCATTACTTTGAATTTGATACAAGAATTAATTAGCACAGACTAAGGGCTGGTTTGGTATTGCTGTGCTTTGAAAAAAAGTTGATTCTGCTGTGCTGTGAGAATAAGCGGCTGTGAAATAAAGCAGCAGAGTGTTTGGTAAACTTTTTTGTAAAAGTGCTTTTGAAAAAAAAAAAACAGTATTATAGTGTTTGGTAAACTTTTATGTAAAACAGATGTGAAAAAAAGCCGATTTTTCAAAGCTGGGTTTTGCAGCTTCTTGTTTTTGGCTTTTTTCACCCAAAATTGTGAAAAAAAACTGAAGCTGAATGTTTACCAAACACAAAAACAGCTCCCAGCTTTTTTTGATACCAACTTTTTTCAGAATCACCTCAGTACCAAACCAGGTCCAAGAATAATAAGACAGCCCTCCTGTCTCCTCATTCCCCTCCCTTTATATATTTCCCAATATTAGAACTAGAGGAATCTAAAGTTTAACAATAATCTTATTTAAAAAGCATCATAACCCCTATATATATAATTTCTATATGCCTTAATTAATTAAGAGATGGACACTTAATCTTTTGGACATTTTTTTCAAAGTGTCTTTTTCGAAACTTTTTCGAAGTGTCTTTTTCCAATGTGAAATGATCGACATACAAATTACTGTTTATGTCCAGAGAGGCTCCCAAGCCGTGCCCGAATTGTTTTCATCCAGAAAACAGCTTGTGTCAATGTAATTAGACTGTTGCTGCTGCAAAATGGCTTCTTCTTTAGATTGTGTCATGTCCATGCAAATTAGGGCAATCATGTTGCCTTGCTGGCATTGCAGGTTAGCGAGCTCGGCTTGTGCCTTGGCCAGTTGGGCTTGGAGCTCACCGATTTGTTTCTGGAGCTGGAAAATTGCTCCCGCGCAGCCATAAATCGGGTTTCGAATTCTGGCATTTGCTTCGTAAACCATGCTGCTCACTGCATCTGCTCTGTGAGACTCTGGAAGTTCCTGCAAAATTTTCGTACATATAACTGTTAAATGTGCATGACCAAATACACAAATAGAGTACTTAATTATGGTCAAGGGTATATTTCAAGCAAGTCTGCTTTATTGCCAAATTGTGAATCTGAACCACTGATTATGTTGGTTTTTGTTGAAATATATGGTTTAGATTCATAGCTGCATACCGCAAGTGTGAAAACGGAATAACTCTTTTAAGCAAAACCCAATTCCAAAACAGCAATCTTACAACGCGTTTACTGTCACAATCATTGTAGAATTTAATAAAAGCCAACAAATTCTACTTTTACAAGTGAAAGTTGAAAAAGTGTTCCTCATGACTTTCTTGATCTTTTGACAAAATCCCATGATTAATATGTGTATTAGTTAGTGCAGTAAACAGAAATAATTACAACCTACTGAACTAATTACCTGCAAGAGCTTGATGATGTTGCTAGCTCCAAAGATTCTGTGGGCAATAGTGAACTTGAGGGGCTCATTAGGAGGGAAGTATGGAGCTAAAACGCACTTCTCTGCACACCGGCGGCGGAGAATCTTGCAGGCGGCGCATGGGCTGAGAACAACAGGTGGCGGCGGGGGTGGTGGTGGTGAAAGAGAGGTGGGAAGCGGATTACTACTAATATTATTACTGGCAGCAGCATGAGGAGAAGATAAACTAGATAAGGGATGAGAGTTAGGGGAGGGAAATGATGCAGTAATGGGAGAAGAAGGAGATGAAGATGGAGAGTAGGAGAATGGAGGTGGACTCATAGTGGTGGTAGTTTTGGCATCGAATTCCATTTTTGTTGTTTTTGAGCGAGCTTTTGCTTTAGTTATGAGTTGCTTTGAGTTATGGAGTAAAAGAGGCAATGTCTAGTGCACATATATATAGAGGGAGGGAGAGCAGTGCACCAAGCACTCAGGACTGGAAACAACAAAGAGGGAACGGAAGGGGTGGCTTAATATGTCAAAGGTGGAGTCAGCATTTGCGAGGTTGTGGTAGTAAGATGCGTCATCAGTTTGGAATCACTTGCCCCATTTTAATTAATATAATCTCTATTTGTTGTTCTGTTTTTTTTATTTTTTTAATCCTCTATTTTTTTGGTAGAGATAAGGATGTTTTAGTACAAATTAATATGTCGTAAGCCCATTATTTGCATATATGGATCCTGCATGCATTAATTCATAACAAGTGATTATTTCTTCGTATGTGACATGGTAAGTAATTTTTCAAAAGATTTTTCATATTTGAAATATCAATATACACTAAATATCTCGTGCTAATTAGTACATGCAACTTTTGAAATGTAATAAAGTGAATGAAGTTTGTCGTGATGACACACTCACACTGCAACAGAATTTCAACTGAGGTAGCTCCCCAACAAAACCTAAAATTCAAGTAAGATTGAAAAATAAAATTTGTAAATAAACTCTATCAAGAAGAAGAAAGCCTTGTTCATCAGCATCTAGCGTACGTACATCGTTTTTGGACTGAAATCATGATACTCGTTCATGCATGGGGACATATAAATACCTACTCAGGAAAAATCTACGCATCCACACCGTCGTAGCACTGTAAATGACATCAGATTGAGCAACAGGTAGCGAAGACAACCCGACTACATAGTAGGGAACTTGTGATCGTACGTTTCATGCATGTGGTTTAAACATCAAACACGATAAAAAAAGAGTCAAGAAAAAATAAGCAAACATAGATTTATATAAAACTATGATAAGGAAATTAACGCCACTGTCATATATTCTTGTATTAGTGGCTAAAACTATGATGGCTGGCTGTAGGAATTAACATGCTTATTTTTTATCAGTGACACATCATTTAGTTTACAAATTTAAAACTCATGGGACATCCTACTTATTTTGTGGCTGTTTTTATGTTGAGAGTATTCATTTACACCTTATATTTATTGTGATTAGCTACTAAACTAGCTGAGTGTGTCTGTAAACGCTTAAGACATTGTGGCCTATAATTATTTGATTAGAATTATATGATGACTTTTACCTAGGCTTTTAGGTGATCAAAATCCTTAAATATGGTTACCCTATATATATATATATATGTATATATATATATATATATAGCTCTTACACTAATTACATAGGTGAGTTTCACTATGTAGTTCATATAAAATAATCAAAATATTAAGGATGAGTTTCCTCTTTAATATGTGTTATTGACTACCTATCTAACTGCATGCTGCCACAACAGAGAGAAACTATTTTCTAGCAACCAACTAAATACACAACTAATTAAAGTGATGATGTGGCATATGGAATTGACAGAAGGTTGACCCCAATTAGCCAGGGACTTGATTGGCCAAGTCAGCTATAGTTCGAGAGGGAGTTGGGTGAGAATTGCAAGTAGGCTCGTGGGAAATAAGAAAATGAGACATGGAACAATTAAGAAGTTAAAAGGCTAGAGCTAATCAGTCGATGGATCCATTTCCAGAAGGTCCCAAAAAGAATGTGACATTTAAAAGAGACATTTATCATATGAGTATGTTAATATTTCTACGATTATGTTAATATTTCTACGATTCAAGTGCCATTTTCTTTCCCTACACTTGGAAAAAAACTAATTCTTTTAATGTGGCCGTGGTGGAAGTAGTTGGACACCATCGTAGAATTTGTTGGCTCATTGCACATTTTAATATCTAAAATTTCCACTTGATTATGTTTTAGTCTCGATCTATTCCTCATCCTAATTTGGCTTTGCTCTAACCAAAGTCTTTTCCCGCTTAAAGGTTCACATCACTCTCTCATTTTATATATAGTAATCAATTAAAGCATGTTAAAAATTTCTACACAAAATATCAACGGAATTTGACCAAAGAAGTATATGGTGATGTTCAGAAGACTTACCCGTAGTAGGCAATTTATGCTCTAAGTTTGCTCTTCATGTCGATGTCTTTTGCAATTGAACAACCGTTTTCTTTTTTTCTGTTCAAGTTGTGTTATTTGTGAGCATTGCAATAGTTTTCGAATCAATAATAGTTTATCGCTTATTTTTCAAAAGAGAAAGGAACATAATTATCATAGATTTGTAACTCATTACCATTTTAAATAGGACTATTAATTGGTATCATTGTCAAAACAAATTAACGTGTTGTTGGACATGCATCATGCATGTATCAGAAAGACATGCATGCATATGCTTGTAGTTGATTAATAAGATGATGTAAGTCTTCTTCCATTAAGATGCTTATTAATTTTAGGATTTGTAGGATAAGACAATTGGAGAGAAATAGAAAGTGATAGTAGTCTATTGCGTGTGGACTTTAACCAAACTTGAAGAAAAGAAACTAAACTTCTTGTTGTTTAATCACCCTTAATTAAACAAATCAATGAATTGGGATTCCATTATAAACTAATGATGCTTTAACAAGTGACTGTAGAATCCTAGATAAATATTACCCACTGTCTACTATTCCTGAGATCAAGAGTCAAATTCCTTTTGACTTAAAAACATGTTTTCAATAATTAAAGAAGCTACTAAATAAGCAATTAAAAATTTGTAGTTACACTGATAATTCTTTCCCTCATTTTTGTATTTCATTGATTAAAACTTTATTTGTTTTCAATTTTTCAAGGTCCTTTGGTTTTTATGTACATTATTATTTTAATAATAAAATATTTACATATCAGCATATTTAAATTTTATAATAAAGTATAATTAACCATTTCCAAATAGATCCATTTAGTGTTAGAAACATTACATTTGACATATATATATATATATATATATATATATATATATATATATATTCATGGCCAAATTTTATGTCATATATTTCTATTTTTAATTGTACTCATCCTTTAATTTGCAACCATTTTTGTAGTATGTACCAATACCAATTAAATTTTTTTCTGCGTCCATATTTTTAAACTTTTACTTGTACCCTTATATTTTTATAATCTTTTATTTATACTTATAATTTATTTATAAATGTACACATTTTTCATAAAAAGATGTACCACTTTGTTATATATATGTAAAATGTACTAACTTAATTATTTTTTGTAAAATGTATTTCTTTGTGCAAAATCTATTCACTTTTTTATTTATAATGTACACATATCTTATAATAAAATGTACTCTTTTTAATTTAAACGTACCAATATGGAAAACTAAAAATAAAAAAAAATTATTTTGAAATAATAAAAAAATCTAATTAGATTTCACACTATTCAGATTTGAGGAAAGAAATTAAAATTCCCTATTGGGAATTAATATTTGCATGATTTTAAGAAGGATTTAGTAATTTTTGTTATTGCCACTCCTCACTTGTAAGTGAAAGGTCTTAGATTCAATTCTCGCCAAATACAAATTTGAATCACATTATTGCTAGTCCATTGTGAGGCTAAATTCATCCCCCCCCAATATTGTTTGTTCAAAAATTTTTTTTTTATTGAATTTCTTAATTAAGATTAAAATTTAACATTTTTTCCTTCAAGTAAAATATTAAAATTAATAAAGTTTCAATCTAACATTTTAGTTAATCAAGGATCGGAACTAAAGTTTTCATACTCTTTAAGTCACTGCATCGCAGGTTCAAATTTATCACTTTCTTTAGATTTAGATTACAAAATAATATTGCTTGTAATTATAAAAAATTGAAAAAAAAAAAAAAAAAAACACTATTAGTTTAAAATAGTGGCTTTTATTGAGTTAGGCCATTGCGCATGCATATATTGCATGTGGCTTTTATTGAGTTAGGCCAGTGTGCATGCATCATGCACGCCTATGGAAAGAAGACTGAACTCAACAAACGTTAGCCACACCTATTCAAGAAACTGTAATGATCAAATCGTTTACTGCAAGTTTTTCTGCAATTGTAGATGAATTGAAAGTTCCATGTTCGTATGCATGATTCATCATCTTTCCAAATTAGATTAAAAACAAAGAGGAGAAAAACAAGAAAAATAATTTGAAGAACGAAACAAACACGACCAAATTCTAGCTAGATTGTGGTTTGATGAATTATCAAACCATACATGACATGCATACAGTGTTTAAAATATCGGTATATGTGGAAATATAGATATAAAACTTTATGAAAATATGGATGGGTATATCAAATATTGATATTGATTGCTTTCGATGAAAAGAATGAAAATTTAAAATGAAACTTAAGAGAATGTCAAACATTAGTTTGGACGAAATATAAAAGTTTCCACCGACACCGATATTTTAAACACAGGTCGAAAATATCGATAAATATGTCAATTTTAACCTAATTAAACTTAAAATTTTATTTAATATGTGGTGAAGTTTAGATTTCATCCACCTCTCTTTCATATCTTTTTTTTATATATATTTTTCGAATATTTCCACATACATCGACAATATCAAAAAACTTTCAAAGGCATATATATACTCGTACACACTGTCAAGTCACAATACTGCAGAAATAACTTATCTGCAACATGTATATATTGCGTGTCTTATATTCTCTCTCTATCGCATAATTAATCGGTATCTTATCGAAATAATTGAATGATCAAATAATATGCTAGTCAACATGGTGATGCACATTTACAATATGTTTTTCATATGCTTTACTTTTCTTTTTGTTGTTGTTAGATATGCTTTGCTTCAATAATATTCAATAATCATTATGTTCCTTAAGTTTGTACAACTTAATCAAAGGCTAATAACTGACTAATATGGACCCCTTCCCCTGGACAAAAATATTCTCTCTTCATATAATATTAATTAATTTATTTTCCATGCAAATCAAGGAAGCATTTTTGTAGGATTTGGGTCGGACAAATGTGTATGGAATTTGCAAACTGTCCTCCATTTGTTCGTAGAGAAGCAATGGAACAAAGTTTACAAGGTCCACGCGTTGGTTGCTTTGCTTTGTTGAACTTTGTTGTATCATATCTGTCAATTCTGTCATGCATGGGTTGGGTTTCCCCAATAATACTCTCACACGCTTTCTTGGTTTCTAATTAATTAATCTTTGTGATCTGCAGATGTAGATCGATCAACCTTATATACTGTCTTTTGGTAATATTGGATGTAATACGTGAGCAACCACTGATGGGACATATAGGCTATGATCCTTCGTTATTTTTCACGGACTAGAATTTTCTCTTATCATCTTTTTGTTCCATTTCATTCTTTCATTTCATATTCTTTATTTTGTCTTTATCTTTATTTTTTCATAAAAAATTAATATAAAATGTTGACGTGATTTAACCGTGATCGTTCAAATAGAAGAGAATAGAAGAAGAGAAAAAAAAATAATAGAAAAGAGAATCACTCCTTTTTCACTACTTTTGGCTAGCTGTAACTCTACGAGTCTATGACAGATTATCGGTTTGATTCTAAGTGATGTGATTGATCCATTCACGTAGACGTTTAAAGCATGCTTGCCCAAATAAAATAGGAACTGTAATTCTTACATGCATACACTAAAAACATGAATTTGAATCGTTTCAAATATGAAATAAAAAAAGCGTGATTTTTTTTTTATATTAAATTCGAAATGAAATACTAAAAATTCAAGAATCAAATTAACTAGGAGGACTAAAGTATGAAATAACCGTCCACTACGTTAAAGCGAATGAATTGACATCACGTTGATATTTCATCACGTATATAGTAAGTGACAATCACGGTCATATGAAAATTGACTTGGTTTGAACTATTCACTGTATTAAAAGTATTTCGTAGCACAACCATGGAGAGTCTAAACCATAGTATCATTCTTGGTTCTGTAATTTAAGGCCTCGTTTGTTAGAAAAGATTGACTTGGTTTGAACTATTCACTGTATTGAAAGTATTTTGAAGGAAACATTAGGTGACAACTTTCATATTTGTCCAAGTTAAAGGCTACCATGAATAAAAGATATCCCTACTAATCCCCACAAAAATAGTAAGATTAAAATGGGCAACTTTCTTTGTGAGTAACCATCAATATAGTGATACTCCTACCCAAGCCAATATTTTTTAACAAACCGAGGCCTAAGAGTACTGTGCATGTAGTAAAAAATAGTTGGTTAAATTTATGCTAAGTTGCTTTCGTACATATTTGCTAGATCGATAAGCAAAGCTGGCAGTATTTGCAGCACTCCAGAGATGCAAACTTGTCCGGAAGAAGATTTTGGAATTGTGGAACACTACGAAAACCATCAGTTACTAGAAAACAAGAGAAATAGAAAATGCATGTGAATGCTCGGTACTGTATATGTATTCGTATCAGATGTCAATCCAAATAATTAGGAACGGTTGGATGCCACTTCTCCCACCCCATCCCGAAAACTCTCTCTCAAAGGTCGGGGTCAGAAGACTCAGAACTCAGAAACCAACTTGCAAACGTAAGTAAATGATAAATCCACCTGGTCTTCAAATTTTCATGGTTTCATACTAGAGAGGGTTCTGGGTTCTGGGTTCTGGCTTTTGGGGTTCATGGGATTCAGAAAATCAAAGAAAAACACTGTTTTGGTCATTTGGTGTACTGCTTTTTGAAAATTTTGATTAAACTGGTACTGCAGGCCCTCTTAATTTCCAAATAGGACAACATGGTACATGAAACTGCAAACAGGAAATGGATACTGATGTCTGATAAGGTTGAAACATTATACATACGCTAATGGTAGAGAAATTCTTCATTAAGCGGTCACTGTTTATACGTGAAGAGGATGAGACATAACGATAATACGTAGGACAAGTTTATCCTCATCATCCTTCATCTGTTTCCCTCAATCCCAAAAAGTAGAATGATTGACCATTTTCACATAACCACAGTTCACTCACTTCATCGACGAGGTGATGTGAAAAACAATCTGACCAAACATTTGACACACCAAAAGTGGCTTTAGATTAATGTTGCATAGGACTTGCAAAGATTCCAAATGTTGTGGCATGTTAACCTAGCAGCAGTTATTTGTGTAGATAAAGTTGCAATTGAATGTTTCAGATTAACTAAAACGTACGCAAAAAGATGATGAATGATAAAACATAAAAAGCTCATGCAAGTTATAGTGAGTACGGTTTTGCTATATCATTATGAGGAATTTAAATAATTGGAGACAAATTCAAACTTTTAAAAGTTTAATAAGCTTTTGCTTTATCATATTGCCAGAGTCAACTGTAAAATTTTATATTTGCTAAAACAGTTGTATGTACATCTCTTTCTAAGGAACCCTACTTTTTTTTTTTTTTACCTGTATTTTAGATTCAAATTAAAGCTTTCACTTAGTGAGTTAGGAATGCAACTTTTGACAAACGTTGATGTGTTTTCTGTAAAATATTTAGGAAAAGAGTAGTGCTACACTTATGATTTATTTGTACCATCTTTCTATTAGAGAGATGATAAAAATAGCTTTTTAGATAGGGAAAATGATTTCTACACATTTTATGACATATTTTTTGAATACAAAATATGACAAATCAAATAAATCTCCAAGAAAAAAACTTCCATTTTATGAACCGATTTTAAAGAAATAAAATAAAATAAAGTTAAAATGGTAGCCATGCGAGACTCAAAATCTTGTGCTAAAGAGTGTAAAGTTCAAGTCCTCTTTGAACTACTTCAAAAGGTTTGCATGTAACTTTTTTACTCTACGCCAGTGATTCCTATTATTTATTAGTGAACTCAAATGACAAGAATAAAGATTGGGCAAGAGACTATGGGCGTGCGAATATCTTTTTTTTTTCTTTTTTTTCTTTTTTTTTTTGTGTGTGCAGTTACAAAGAAAATTGTTTGTGCCAAGTGGTAACACGATGTATGGAGTTTGACACCTGCCTGGTGTTGGAAGGTCGAAAGGAGAAGTGTATCACATCATCCAAACGCTTTATTGAATTTCTTTGTGTAGTACATTAGAGAAATGCAAAAGTAGAGGTTAGGAGATACTACCAAGCATCCTTCATAAGCTTTATTGAATTTCTTTCCTTTCCCATCATCCAAACGCTTAATTTACACGGCTCCTTTTTTTCAGGAAGAAATAAGACAGTTCATCTATGATACAGTGTGCAAAAGCATACAACCCTTTCAGCTTATTCAATTCAGCTATCTTCCTTTCACTATTGACAAGTAACTTTACAGAAAAGCACAAATTGTACCAGATATTGCAGGGATCCTCGTGAAGGCGTGGAGGTGACACTTTTCTGGAGCTCAACCCTAACGAAATGAATCTGAACCGTTGAAATCAGTACCGTCTAATTCATTTCTGACAGGCATATGTGATGAGTAATGTATCTTTCAGCCCTTCATTGACCATGGCTTTCCCTTCTTTCGTAAGAGGAATGGTTTTGGAAGTCTGGAAGTCAGGGAGAATTAGTCTTTGATGATGGTATTAGACTTGAAACGTGCTTTAAACCCCGGAAATCGCCATTGTCAATAATGATGCAAAAATAAACCTTCAAATCTTGTCCAAAAGGCTAACAAAGATGCAAGAGGACACAAATCACTTTTTAAACGTCACGGTCTGTTCCAAGGGAAAACTTCCTCTTGTACGAAACTGTAGGCTGATATGGAACCTCACCACCTTCATTCTTCCCTCTAGCATTCTCAAATTAAGAATACATTGGAAGGAGAACAGAACTATATTCTTACATCGTGCAGATTATTGCTAACCTCATGAACCAGTTCCTCCTCACATCAGCCATAAGAAACGCCTTTCACGAAAACTAGGCCCACTTTCAGCTGCCATTTATTCTCAGTTTTGGTCTCCGAATGGAGAACAAGATTCCATGCCCCGCCTTTAATTGGACCTGACCACACCTCATATTTAATGGCATGGACAAAGAAACATCATTCATTTCATGTGAACCTGTGACATTCAACAAATGTCAAACTTAATTTTATCTTTGATCAGCACTCACTAATAAAAACATCAACAAAACGTAAAATAAATCTTCCTTTACCAATTTGCATTTGCTCCATTTGCATATCCAAAGAGAACATAAAGATTAGCAAAATAATATTGTTGCGATCTCCCTTGGCTTTGTCATTACTACAAAATGTTGAACAGGACTCAGTTCCAAGACAAAAAGTGATGCTCTTTTGTATTTTCACAATAGACAGAAAGTGCAAACTTGTGAATAACATAAGTTTGCTTAGTACCATGAAATTCATTCTTGTGCATCTACAAAGTGAATCATACTGTCAATATATCTATGTTCTTCCCGCTAACTCTTTTGAACTAAGGAAGATTGTATAGGAATTAAACCTGAAACTGGATTCTATGAGAAGATTAGAGAAACATGAAAAGATAAGAAAACAAAAGGTAGTACCTGGTCCAGTTGTTGTCAAATTCAAATGGAACACGCAGGCAAGGCTCGTGCACTCTGACATTGTAAAAAATAGCCTAAGGTCTCATTACAGCTTAACAGCCTTTGATGTGCTTTTTCGCCTCTTAATCAGCCCATTCATCAAATTAATATAAACATCTCGACTTAAGGTCATGCCTTTCTGCATTGATTCTTCCAAAATGTGCATTGCATCCTTGTATTTACCTTGAAAGCAACACTCAATGATTTTCTCTGAATAAGCACCAGTGCTTGAATCAGATTCAACTGATGTTTCGATCACTCCATTTTTCACCTCCTCCAATTTTGAGGGCAAACCAGGTAACTTTCTCATATCAATCATTTTCAAAATAAACTCTTCTGCTTCCTTGATCCTACCAGCATCAGTAAGTGCACCTAAAATGGCAGTGTATGTATACTGGTCCGGTTCAAATTTCTTTTCTTCCATTTCCGAAAAAAGATCAAAAACATCATCAAACCTTCCTTCTTTGCAAAGGCTTGAGATCAATGTGTTGTAAGTAACAGCATCAATGTCTTTCCCTTTCGAAATCCATGTGTTAAAAAGCTTCAGAGCTTTTTCTAACATACCCTCTCTACATAGCCCACAAAGAAGAGTATTACATGTATAGACATCTGGCTTGAATGATTTCTCAACCATTTTGTTGTGGAACTGAAATGCTTTCTCAACATTCCCCTCACGGCAGTAACCATGAATTATCGTGTTGTATGTAGTTCCATCAGGGACTAGACCCCTCTCTAGAAGCTCATTCAACTTGTCGAATGCTTGATCAGTTTTTCCAGACTGGCAGAGCCCTCCAATTATAGTGTTATAGGTGGCAATGCTGGGAACAACCTGCTTCTCCTTCATCTCATCCCAAAGCTCAAAACCCTTGTTGGCCTTTTCGTTCTTAAAGCATCCCGTGATCAAGGTTCCATAGCTTACCTCATCAAGAATATAACCCCGCTTAGTTGAAGTATGAAACAACTCAAATGCTTCATCGAGCTTCTTGTCACTGCAAAGAGTGTGAAGAAGAGTATTGAGAGTAAAGATGTCCATCTTCAAACCTTTCATACCCATCTCATTCATCATTTTAAATGCTTCTGCCATTTTCCCTGCCTTGCAATACTCGTTAATCAAAGTATTATAAGTGACACAATCAGGAGCAAACCCATCTTCCTCCATCTTCCTTAAAGTATCACTGGCTTCATCCAGCTTCCCTTCTTTACAGAACCACTTTACTATTATATTGTGAGTAACTGCATTTGCTTTCACTCCCTTTTCACGCATCTCCTCAATCAACATAAAGGCCTCTGAATCGCTCCTCCACTCAAAATACCCATCAATCAATGTGTTATACGTGACAACATCAGGCATCAACTTCAAATTTTCCATCTCAACCCGAAGTCTCAGAGCCTCCTCAATCCTACCCTCCCTACACAACCCCTTAATCAAGACATTGTACGTCCAAATATCCGGCAGCAAACTGTTCCGTGTCATTGATTCAATCACCTGCATTGCCTCCTTCAACCACCCCATCTTACAATACCCACAAACCAAAATGTTATACGTGTTCCTATTCGGAAACAAACCTCGATTCTTCATGTCCAACAACAAGTCCCGGGCCTCATTCAACTGCCCCTTCTTACACAGCCAGTCCAATATCGTATTATAGCTGACATTATCAGGCACGCATCTGAATTCACTCATCCTACTCAACAACTCTACAGCATCCCTAAACTTATGTTCCAAGCAATACCCATATATCAAAATGTTAAAAGTATTCGTATTCACTTTAACCCCTAACTCAACAGCATGCTTAAACACACCTTTAGACAATGAAATCGAATGCGAGGACCGGTACCTTATCAGACCATTAATCAAAGTATTGCAGGTGAGTAAATTGGGCTGAAGCCGAAGCCGCTTCATTTTATCAAACACTTGGGCTGCAAGGTGGGGTTTCCCGGATTGCACATATGCCCCAATGGAAGTGTCCAGAAGGGCCTTCGAGGGCTTCGGGACGGTGGGGTCCGGGTGTAGAATAAGGCGGTGGAGATCGTTCTGCCGATCGGCGGCGATGAATTGGACGAGGAGGGCTTTGGCATCGGAGAACTTGTGGTGGGTGAAGAGGGAGGGGAGGAGGGCGAGGAGGGTTTGTGGGGATTGGGTTAGGGAGGGCGTGTGGGCCTGGGCCCACCGGAAGAAGAAGAGGAGGGTGGTGGGCTGGGAGGCTAGGGTTTTGGAGGAGATGATGGAGAGGAGGAGGGGTTGGGTCAGATGCGGAATGTGGGGTTTTAGGGTTTCTGGGTTTAGGGTTTTTGTGGAGGTCAAGAGATTGGTTAGGGTTTTGAGGAGTTGGGGTTGGGTTAAAGTTTGAGGTGGAGCTGCCATGGAGGCAACTGTGACTTGCGAGTGTGAGTTGCAGCAGGTTGAAGAAGACCGAGGAATAAAGTCTACTGTGCTTAGATTTGGGGAAGCCCGAAACGGTGCGTTTCATTTAGACCTGAATGAAACGGCATCGTTTCGATCCTTATCCGTATAAAAGGACGGTTAGGGAACAGAAAATATTTATATTTGGATTTTTATTTAGAGAAGAAATAACAAAGAGAGATGGAAATCTCCGGCGAGTCTAAGTGGGTGAAGCTGAAGGCCGTCGAAGCCACTCCGGAGAGCTTTGGAGAGTACGGCCAGGTGGTGGAGGCTTCGCCGGACGGCCACGTGTTTGGTCCTAGCGATGCTCAGTTGGACCTCAGCCATGGAGTTCCAAGGTAATACATTTACAACCAATAAAAAAATCTGAAAATATAACTTTAGCCTATAAAACCTAATTTTCTCCACATAAAATCCTTTTTTACTTGAATAAAACTCATTTACTAGATTTCACATCAGCAAATTATTAATTATGTTTGACTTTACACATTTAAAATTGGGACATTTTGATATAGGCGCCTTGTTTTTTAATTTTTTAGATTAAACATACACTCATTTTGAAAATTTGATCAAACATTTTCCTAAAATTTTGGTTATTAATTTCAGTTTTTCACATAAGTTCAATTTTGTTTAGAATTTTAATTTTTCACGATTTTCCCTGGACATTTCGTTTTTTTTTTCTTTTCGTCTTATCCCTATATTTATGCATTTATTATCCATCTCTATGCATTTTTTTTATTGTTTGTTATAATTTTACCTTTTTTTTTTTTTTGTGAATATAGTAGAATATTTTAAAAAAAAATTGTCATATTTTATTATTTAGAAGACCCAACACATAATAAAGATTTGTTTGATTATATAGCTACGTCTAGTTACCTATAATATGAACACATTTAGTTTTATAGTGGATTTGATTTTTTGTATTTCTTGGTACATTTGAAATGTAAATGTACCAAAAGGGTATCTGATAGAGACATTTGGTTTTGTGGTGCATTTGTGATTTTTTGTTCATTTGGTCTTTTGGTACCTTTGGAATCTAAACGTAACAAAATGATTACTTGACAATAGGCACATTTAGTTTTATGGTATATTTGGTTTCTTTGTACATTTGAAATTTAAACGTACCAAAAGGGTTACATAACAATGGGTACATTTGATTTTCTGGTACATTTGGTTTCTCGATACATTTGAAATCTAAACGTACCAAAAGTCTATACTTTTATTCTCAAATGTATCATAAGTTTTAAGTATATTTTATATATATCTATATGTGAAAAAATATGTATTGAAGACTTTTTATTGAGACATTTTTAATAGAAAGAGATTTTTTTTTTCCTTTTAAATACTGATAATACGGTAATGAGGAATTAGTTAATTAATTTTTTATTTTTTTTTATTAAAAAAATGTCATTTAATGCGTAGAAGGGATTGACGAAATTAAATTCCTATATTATAGGTAATTAGTTGCTAATCTATCTTATGCCTCTATATAAATGCATTGAAATTAATGACATGGAAATTAAATAAATTGAAAATTATTGAGGCAGCAATTGGTCAAAGCACCTTAATTAAATCTTTAAAAGGGATGAATATTTAATCTAACAACTACATAAAAGATGTATGACATTCTAATTTTCCCTTTTAAAATTTTGTGAATGCCTAAAATACCCATATTTGAATGTTTGATGTACACAATTAATGTCATGTGAATTATAAGGGAGAATTAATAATTTTACTAAAAAAACATTTGTTATAAATTCATTGCCTAATATATAATAACAATACAAATGTAATATATTGACATGCTTAATTAAGTCACTAAAATTATATTTTACATATTAATGTAGGTAAATTATTTCACACACATATAAAAAAAATGACTAATATATGTAAAACTTCATGCAAAATAATTTACCCAAAAAAAAAAAAATATTTGATTCAAATAGGGCACCTACTATTAAAATTTTAAATTGTTAGATTGCTCAAAATAATTTACCCTATGTACGTAAAATACATGAAAAATCATTTACCTACATAATAAACAAACTCAATATATGCAAAATAATTTACCTACATAATAAAGCAATATTATTTTATTTAATACTAATTTACCTACAAAATATTATTAATTTACCTACAAAATATATTATTTGCTAATCATAAATTTACAACTAGGTAAACTAATTACATATAATAATTTTTTAACATATATGTTAGTACTGCACATATATATATATTTGAACGTATAGCAGTACTATATACATATAGGTAAATTATATGTATATTGAACTTTTAGTAGTATGATATACTTTTGAATGTATTTGTGTGTGTGTGTGTGTGTATTTATATATGTTAGGGATAATAGTATGTGCAATAATTATTTGTTCATTAAAATTAAGGTAAGTAATAATATTTATTGATTTGATTTGAATATTGTGGCACAAGTTGTAAATATTTTGTAATAATAGGTCAATTACTTTTCTATTTGGCAATTTTTTTCAAATTTGGATTTTATTTTTATGTTTAGAATTAGGTGGATTTTTATTTAGGAAATAAGAGTTGCAAGGGTCTATATCTAAAAAAACCCTAAGAAAATACAATTAGCAAAGCAATATAGGCACCCAGGTTTTTTTTTTTTTTTTTTTTTTTTTTAACGAAAGATAGTATCTGCTAAGGCTGATTCAGTATGGAAAGGGATCCCAAATCCCAAATTGACTATTTTTGGGACGGGACTTTATCTACCCCAAACCGAAATTTCGGAAATCACAATATGTTTTCGATATTTCGGAACGGATCGGGACCAACAATCTACAATTCTAAAGAGTAAGAGTAACCAATCAATTTGTAAACCTTCATTTTCCCCAATCATGTTCCATTGATATGCTGTACTGTTAGGATCAATGCTCCAGCTCCTTAGCTCAACCTGCAAGTAGCTAGTAACAATGGTAGAGGGTATGGAGGAAGAAGATAGAGAGAGAACTGAATATTTTTGTAATATTGTTTTTTTAATCAAAATACCGTTACAAGGACTCTCAGACTATTGGTGCTTATATTCCCTTTCACAAACAACCATTGCCAGCTGGCCACTCACTAAATAAACTAATTAACTAAGTAAAACAACTTAAGTTCACTAATAATGCTTAACGGCTATATAATTGTGATCAAGTAAATCACAATCCTAACATGTACGCTCTGCAAAAGCAGAACTCCAGCAGTAGCATAGGAAAAGTGGAAAACTAAAACAGTCCAGCAAAGTCAAAAGACCTAGGAAAAGTGACAATGTGATCTTCACATTCAGAAATTTCGTAGTTATTTTGAGCAATTGCAAGATATCTGATTGATTATATTGTTCAATACACGATATTGATTTACGGTCTAGCAAAATAACACGACGTATAATTTCGAGAAGCAAAACAAAATTACTTTTTGGTGTCACATTTCAACTTTGGTTCATGTTTACAGGTTCTACATAATGAATCTTCAAGATAGGCCGCTCAAGTTCTCAACGATCACACACCATGCTAGCGTGACGCAGTGCCTGGGTTCAATCAGCGGCCACGTTTGGTATCTCGGAGTGGCCAAGCCTTCCATTGTTGAAAGCAAGGACCGTGAAGGCAACAATGTGGTGCAGTCTCATTGTGCCTCCGGCCATTTCTACGTGCCGCCGGCTGTGGCGGACGTTCGGGTTTTCAAGATTACGGGTCCCAAGTTCCTGAAGCTTAATATCGGGACGTGGCATGCGGGGCCTTTGTTCAGGGCGGGGACTATGGACTTCTACAATCTGGAGCTGAGCGATACCAATGTGAGCTTCGGCCTTTCCTCTACTCTTTCAATTATGCTTTTGCGGGTTCGGTTGAGAAACTTGCGTGAAACTGGGGATATGTCTCCATGTTCCTAACGCCCGTGACCTGGTCACCTGATGGGCGCTATAGGAACATGGGGAGATATCTCGGTGACAGCTGAGACTTTCCTGTTGGTTTGGGCAAAACTGGAAATGGAACCTCAATCAGACGGCCATTTTTTGTTGCAGGAGGTTGATCACACGACACATAACTTTCTGAAGGAGAATGGAGTGAAATTCTTGATCGACGAGTGACTGTAATTTTTCTGTTTGTGATTTCCACTTCTGAACTTGTTTCAGAGAAGCGTATCTTAAATAAACGGATTTCAGTACTCAAATTTCAGAATCCGGAAGAATTACAATTTGGAATATTCAGAATCTGTATCTTGCTTGGTGAAAGATAATATAAATCTTACAACATTAAGAAACACTTCATGAAAATTGTTTCTAGAGAATCAAAAATATAAATACACTCCAACACTCCAACCGGCACAAGAAATTAGCATCAGTGCTCCGCTGAAGGAAGCAAGAACGCTAAGTTCCTTTGCGTCACTATTCACCCCCCATCATCTGCATAACAAGGATTGAGATTGCAATAAGAATGCCGCTCGATTATTTCAAGACTCATTTTTGGAACAGTTTCTGTCACAGCAATATCGTTATTATTTGTGAATTACTCGCCATTCTAGTTTTCGAAGTTTTCATAACAAATTATAGTTAATCATTCACAAGAGTTCAACTCCATTGCAACCTACAGTATTGTGGACAATGCACAATTACCTTGAAAATCTCGCCAAACATTCCCATCCCTTGCAGCGGATTTCTGCGCCGTACTCCATAAAACTTCTCCGCGATTTCATCCAGCAACTAAACCATAAATTTAATGTTAGCACAAAACACACCGCACACCTTAGGGAGAGAGACATTTTGACACAGATTTGTAAAAGGTGGTCGCGCAGAAAAACTGCATACCTCATGAAATGTTGGTTCTCTGTCCAAGCTTGATTTGTATTTCTCTCTCAACATATTAAAAAGCGGAAGAGCATCTCTCAGCAACCTGCATTGAGAATAACATTCAGCAATGTGTAAACCTTGTACCATACACATCAATAATTGAGGCTCCTTATTTCATAATCTAATTAAATCTTTATGATCTCTTGGGACTTTGGCTATTGATATTTTGAGGCATGAAGATCAGGGGCATACATAAATTGCATATTTCCAGTATGGTTACCAAATCAATATTTGATTGCCCAAGTCACCAAAAATCGCACAAGCAACAGTACATATCATTTTCTTTTATCATACTCTAAATTCCGTTAAGACTGATGGACATTGTTACGGATCCTTCTCTAGAGATGGGATATATGATTGTTACGGTTCATGAATAAAAAGAAAGAATTGAAAGCAACATACGTTTGCAAAAGAAAATTGATGAACTGGATCAAATTGGATTTGGGAAAGTCGAGCTGCTTAGACTCCACTTGCTTCTTTATCTCATCCACGAGAATATTGGCATCTCTCAGATTACCAACTGCCAAATACCTACACCAGAAAGACACAAAATCAGCTCTATAGGAAAACAGAATTAGCTCGATTAGCCTACTGCTCAATCTCAGAATGAAGGCAAATGAAAAGTACATAAACATGACAAAACGGTAGTTGAATGTGTATATTCGTCGAGGATCTCCCAATTTTGAGTGCACACTTTGAAAGCAAGTTCAAATGAACTCATAGTGCCACCCAACAAATCAAAAGGCTTTTTAGTCAAAATGGTCCCTGAGATTTGCATAACACGTAACTTTGGTCCCTGAGATTTAAAATCAATAGAAGTGGTCCCTGAGATTGTCCACCATCCATTATTTTGGTCATTCCGTTAAAAAACTCCGTTAAGTTGAAGGTATAACACATAACTTTGGTCCCTGAGATTTGCATAACACATAACTTTGGTCCCTGAAATTGTCCACCATCCATCATTTTGGTCATTCCGTTAAAAAGCTCAGGGACCACTTAGCGGAGTTTTTTAATGGAAGGACCAAAATAATGGATGGTGGACAATCTCAAGGACCACTTCTATTGATTTTAAATCTCAAGGACCAAAGTTATGTGTAATGAAAATCTTAGGGACCATTTTGGCTAAAAAGCCCAAATCAAAATTTTAAATTGCACTATGTTCATAAAATCCACAATGTATTTTAGACTACCCTTGAAAATTAGAAGGGAAGTTCCCACATTACATCATAACTAAGTTATTGTTCTCAGTTTTTACGGAAACTTCAATTAGGCCATGGATTTATTGCACTCATTGTGAACCTCAGAATTGAAGCTATATTAAAATTCTGTAAGCGAATTCAGGATTCAGGATCCAGATTAGTTGTTCAACTATCATCAATGATATCAACCAGAACCGAAGAGTGAATTGCCTACACAAGTACATAGTGGAGAAAAGGCTTACATTAAAATCGCTCGTGCAATGGCCAAATCATCTTCCCCCGGATAACACTGCATGGTCAAGAAGTATGAACCCCATAAAAACTTTCTATCAAAAAGCTAACTATAATTCTGTAACATACCTTTTTCTGCATTTGTGAAAATTAATCTCTTTTTTTTTCTTTTTTTTTTTTTTTTTTTTTTTGTCGAAGATGATTTTCTAGTGCTAAAAGAGGAGATACTAACTATAATTTTGTAGCTCACCTTGCCCATAAAATTTACTAAAGTCGAAGCAAACTCTTTGGGGTTGTTTCCTAGAACAAAATGATGCGACACTCTAACCATGTCCTGCAAGGCAACCAAACAGATAATGGTGTTCACTCTGCACTTACAGCAAGAATAGTTTGAACAGTATGGAACTACCAAAAAAAAAAAAAAAACAATTCCAACATGTCTTCCAAAACATTTTCAAGCGCAAAAAGTGCTTCAGAATAAAACATTGGAAAGATGACGCAATCACCAAAATGACAGTAAACAAATTTGTATAAATAATGATCTGTTGGTCCAATATTCCATCTGAACTTGCTAGCAATTAATAAGCAGGCATTTGCAAAAAAGTGGACTATGGGGACAATCTTTGAAATGTATGCACTCGAGAGCCAAATACTAAAGGATTATGGACAGCCGCAAGCACAGCAAAGAACACAATCAAGATGCTACTTACCACCTCAGGAGATTCAAAATATATGTAGTTCGCTAACATGACATGTATTTCTGGAGCTCCACCCTTGGGTGCACCAAACTCCTTAGACCACCTGAAAAGAGAGAACCAGCAACGCATTTTCAGTGCTCGATGACACTATAGGATCTGATATAAAGTAAGGTGCATATGTAATACATATTGTGTGCATGCTCGTCGTGTACACACATGTTTAGTATAATTAGGACAGTAACTAGGAAATAAAGGATCAAAATTGATATTTTCCTTAATATGGATAAAGTTGGGAAAAAAAAAAAAGAAGTTCAATATGAAGTGCAAATGTGGGTTATAATTGGTTTTTCAATAATTAATTACGGCAATTTTGTCCTAAACACCTATAAAAAATGCTAGTAAATGTTGAAAAAAGCGGGGAGGGGACCGGTTAGCTTTTGTTAAAAGGGTATGAGTAACGACATTCTCTTCTTTCCCAACATTTATCATTTATTACCAAATTTCTTCTCTTCCTTGCACTTATCCAACATGGGAAGGTAAATGATTTCCCATTCTCAAGCCCCTTTTTCCCACCAACTAAACACATAGTTAGAGTTAATTGTAGATAAAACGCAAGGATTAGACAAAAGAAAAAACCAGATGAATATCAAATAGCATTGAATATTCAGATAAAGAGGAATCAAATATCTTAACTCACACATAAAAGACCAAACCATAACCATGAAATCTCTCTCCAAATCAGGAAAAGGAAAATCTTGAACAAAACTCACTTAAGAGCAGATTTTAGGAACGATGAGCAGCCCTCAACACATGTTTTTGCTTCCCCAAGTGTTTCAGAAAGTTGTTGCATGTCATCTAAATCCCCTAACTGCTGTGGCACAGGTATCCGAGGAAATGCTTTATAAATTTTCCTGACACGACCTGACAAAAAAATAAATTTTGTCATGATCACGAAAAAAATAGAAGCATTATAGTACTAGAAAGACCAAAACACTGAAAATGGCTGGGAAAACATGTGAATCATATCCAAAAATTCTATTTATCATAACATTGATACTCTGATACGAATAAAACCTGCTAGAAGAACCAACCACGAGAAGTTCAAAATTACTACAGAAGGTAGGAACAAGCCAACAGTGAACCAATAGAGAATTTAATTCAATAGCATATGATAACAACTGACCTAGTGTTTCATCGTCATAAGGGAATCTTCCTTTGACAAGTGTTTCCACAAACAAAGCAGCCAACTCAGCACCACAAGTAACCTGAATTTGTTTTCCATATATACAGTGTCAGTAATAAGGATTTGACTATGAAATGTCATGATATATTTTCTGCACGTTTGTATCTTGACTATGTCCAAATCATGCAAATTTGTATCTCAAAACGCAGAGCCATGAAAGTATGACCTGCCCATGTTTCAGTTGGTTGCATGCGCCGGACTGAAGGATATCCACAGCCTCAGAAAACCTCTGAGCAGATACATATCTGCAATAAAGAATCCGTATTTGATCAACGTGCATGCCTTTAAGAAAGACAAATGAAGAAAATGGGTTCCTGGGTTCCTCAACAGCCATGCTCACTGTTAAATAAAATGAGGCTTTCTCCAATGCGGGAAAAATCTTGCAAGATGTGAACCCAGCCAATCAAGCAGGCACTCGCATCCCACAAGATTTATCCCACATTGGAGAATTTCTGTTGGTACAATTCCCAATATTTTCCTGAATGATCATATTCTTGAGCCTCGAAACTAAATAACAGAAACTATCTACGCAGAAATTATAAAGAGCATGTGACTCGTACCTTGCACTAATAGATTTGTACATTTGTTGAGCTCCATAGTAATTACCTTCCTCTACAACTTTCTCTAATTTCTCAATATTCTGCATTTAAAGTAGAAAAACAAAAATGCAATTGGAAACCATCCTTCCTGAAACCAACTGGCTGATAGAATGAAACCGAAAACTGTTCTTCATCAAAACTAAGCATCGAGTATCAAAGTAAGCAAGCATTGAAAACGAGATTTATTACATTACCATAATCTCAACAACCAAATTCAGGCTGCAATTGTTACTTTGGAATGTAGGAAATCTAAAGCAAAAACCTTTTGTGGAAGAAATTATAAGTTTTTAGATCAAAAGTCAAAAGCCAAAAGCAATAAGCAGCGTTATGGACTAGAATCAGCAAATACGATTAACATTGTGCATATCACATTCCAAATCAAACAAACACAAAACAGAGAGCTGATCATATTTATATATATCACAATTCTTCAAAAAGTAGAGAAAATTACGAATCAGAATCTCAAATCGGAGAACTTCCATTAATTTCAGCGCAGAAAACAAAACCCGTCATATGAATTCTCCAATCGAAACGTTTCCGAATTGCGGAAACACAAAGATTACAGAAAACTTGAGGAAACCAAGAGATTGGAAAGCAGGATTTGAGGTGGCGTACCTCTTGGGCGGGAGGCAGTGCGCCTCTTTTGGGTCTCTCCCGCGACATGATGATGGGTCTCAGTTTCTTTGAGCGTCGAGTTCAAAGTGAGCAAAGGTTGTACTCTCTAACTCAATCACACAACAAAAAAAAAAAAAAAAAAGGGGCAAAACACTGTTTACTACCTCATTTCGTGGTTTTCAATATTTTTTTTATTTCAGAGTCACCTCAAGTCTTAATTTTGAAACAGTTTCATACATCCGTTAAGTTTTTCGTTAGAATTTCTATTGATTGATGACGTGACGTCTACGTGAACAATAATTGAGCGTCACGTGTCAATATGACTCCGCTTCAATATTAAAATTTAAAAAAAAAAAAAACCGACCCTCCCTCTTCCCCGATCCCTCCCTCTTCTCTTTCCGCTTAGCTGCTCAGATCACTCCATCTACGAATCATAAAGCGAGACGACCTTCATCTTCTTCTTCTTGGTTTCCCACAATGCATTCACACGAGCATCCACCATCTGTTTCTGCGACTCCATTATCATCTGATTTTTCTTCATCTCCACCTTCATTCTCATCTTCTCCATCTCCCCCACCATTTCCATCTTCCTCTTCTCCATCTTCACAAATACTTCTCCCAAAAACTTTATTGAACACGCCATTGCTTCAATCGGATCATCCGCCCCTTTCCCGGCTGAACACCCACCCAATTAAGAAGAAGAAGAGGAGAGAGAGAAAAAAAATCCACGTCACCTCTGAAGAGAAGAAAGAAAGAAAGAAAAAAATCCACGTAAACCCTTAATGACGCGTGGCGCCCAGTCATTATCCACATGGGCGCCATGTTATCACTTAATGGGGGACTTAACAATTTGACTAACGAATATATGAGATTGTTCCAAAATTTACACTTTAGGTATGACTCTGGGATGAAAAAAACTTGATGTACTAAATGTTGAAAACCACGAAACTTCAGGATAGTAAACAGAGTTTAACCCAAAAAAGAAACTCAAAAACACAGAACAAATCCGGGTTTGGTAGATACACTTAATTACATATACACCCGTTAAAACTCACCTCTAGTCCTACCTTATAAAATAATTTGAGTAAATCTCAGTATACTACCTTCAAGTTTTGTGGTTTTCAACATTTGGTAAATGAAGTTATTTTCGTTCCAGAGTCATATCTAAAGTGCTAATTTTAGGACAATTTCATACATTTGTTAGTCTGACTGTTAAGTCTCCTATTAATTGATGATGTGACACCCATGTAGATAATGACTGGGCGCCACGTGTTGTTAAGGGTCCACGTGGAAATTAAAAACCAAAAAAAATAAATAAAACCCCCTCTTCTTCCACCCGACCCTCCATCTACTCCAATCTTCATAACCCCCAGCGCACCGCCACTCTTCCCCAACACCTTCTCCTTCTCCTCCACTCTCTTCACCTCCCCTCCCATCAGAAAAACACACAACTTTACCCCCAAAAGCTAGCTCTCAACTTTCCTCCACTTTCTCTCTCTTTTCTTCTCTACCCAAACCCAAACCCCAAAATCACTCTTTCTTCGAATCCCTTCGCAAACCAAAACAAACCCTAATTCCAAAATCCCCAAATCTTGGTGATGACGATGAAGTTCCAATTGATTCAATCCCTACCTCAAAACCTTCCTCGGTTTTCTCATCGCTTCCTCTGCCGAAATCTCGAAATCCAATTCAACCCATCACCAATCTCTCGACATCAATGCGAACGACAATGGAGCTGAGAACTCCTCCGAGGGAGGAATGAGCGGGGGAAATTCTGAGTTTGGTATATGATTGAATTCTGGGTTACTGTGAAATTTTTAATTTTCTGGTATTAATTTCTCGTAATTTGTTTTGTTAAATTCTAGGTTTGGTATATGATTGAATTTGGGTTTTGAGACAATGAAAAATGGTGATTCGTTTCTTGAATTTTTTATTTTTTTTATTTTTTGGTGCACTAGTGGTTATGGAGATTGGAGGAGATAGAGGGTTAGGTGGAAGAAGAAGGGGTTTTTTTTTTTTTTTTTTTTTGGGTTTTTTTGTTGTTTTTAATTTCCACGTGGACCCCTTAATGACACATGGCGCCCAATCATTGTACACATGGGTGCCACATTATCAGTTAACAGAGGACTTAACAGTTAGACTAAATGATGTATGAGATTGTCCCAAAATTAACACTTTAGGTATGACTTTAGGACAAAAAAAACTTCATGTACCAAATGTTAAAAACCACGAAATTTGAGAGAAGTAAACTGAGATTTACCCAAATTATTTTGACACCTCATGAAACAGGAGAATAGTTTGAATTCATCGTTACTTGGCATTCCAGTCTAATAATTAAATATTATATTAAAATTTACATATAAAAATATATTATTATTAAAATTATAATAAATTTGTATTATGAAAATTGTTATTTTTGACACACCCCGATCGAGATCAGGGCATGCTGGCCGTCACGTGGAAGTGACGTAACCATGTGCACAGTGCGGAAGCTAATAAAATAATAATAATAGTACGAATAAATAAAAACCGGCTTTACACAAAGTAATAACAAACATATGCAAGCGTAAGTGTGAACACAAAGTTCAGAGCACGAAAACCTAATGCAGTCCGGGAGAAAATGACATTACAAAAGTAGACCCGAAGGTGGTCCTACACTGGTAGTAGGCTATCAGATATGCCGGGGAAATCCTCAGGGAAGCCACCAAACGTGCTAGCCAACTAAAACTTGGAGGGGCGCAAAACAAAAGCGTGAGTGGGCAAAAACAAAGCTTTTCAAAAACCATTTCATAAACAAGTTCTAACCCCTCGCCGTAAAACTTGTATACTTCCCAGAAAATAGAATATATATATATATATATATATAATTCATGCTCAGAAATATGCTATGCCAAAACCTCGAAGTAAAATGCAAGTGCTCAGGTAATATCACATCAAGGTCATATAATATGTCAGCCGGAGTCACCTAACGTGACCTGTACGGCTGAATCTAGAGCTCAAATCTCCATCTCACTAACTAGACCTGCACACGAGTCGGAACCACCTAAAGTGGTCTGTACGACAAGCCTGGGTGTAATATAAGTACATTCAAATGTTACGATCACGTGAAGGCTGGGCGAATAATCGCGGGTCACCTACGAGTCGGAACCACCTAAAGTGGTCTGTACGATAGGACTGTGCACCTAACTTGGATCCAAGATGAGCGTGTGGTGCGGGAGGTGAACATCACATGAAGGACTGTGCCCGACTCTGGGCGGGAGCACTAACACCGGAGGTGCAGGTTATGAGCTCTCTATATACATCTCAAAACACTACTAAACATAAACATAATCATACTCACCTGGCACTTACCTGTGCGTCCGCAGCACCAAACGTACATATATATATATATATATATATATATATATATATATATATATATATGCAACGAACAATGCATAAACAAACGACAATATAATGCATGGCATATAAACGAATAAACGTTTCAAATCAATTTTTGGGAAAAGTATAAGTATATAGGTATATACGGAAAACCAAAACCCCACTCACTGGTATGTAGAAGGGTCGTAACCCCCTTGCCTCGAGTGACCACGCTCGTCCTCGGGATAGGTATCACCTATATGCGAAACAACTATAAAAACGTTAATTTTAAAGCACATAACCAACCTTAAGAAATAACTTCTCATACAATGCTCAAATGGGGTGTACGAATACACCAACGTGATCTATTCAACCTCAGGAACATCCCCATATTTTTAGAAAAAATTCTCATCGTCGCACGCGCCGGCCACGCGCAGGCACGTGCCTGGCACGCTGACGGCGTCAGTTAACGCCGTCAGGAATATTCCGTTAACTTTAACGGATTCCGTTAACGCTGTTAGGAATATTCCGTCCAAACTGACGGAATATTCCGTCGTCTTCTCCGGCGAGGCTCCGGCGCCGGAAAATCGGGAAAATTTTCAAATCTTCATATCTTCTTCGTTTTTCAACCAAATTTCATAAAATTGGTACCAAATTGAAGCTTACAACGAGAGGAACAAGTTCATACCACTTTCAAGTGCTAAAATCCACGAAATCTCGCCGGGAAAACACCACCAACTCCGGCCAACCTCGAAACTCGTGATCCCGACGTCCAAAACCTTCAAACGAACCACCCCGAGCCTCCTAAGGACCTCACCAAGCTTCCTACAAGCTTGAAATTCCCAAAAACATAAGAATTTACGTGTGCATGAACAGTGACAAAAATCGGGTATCCCGAGTTCGACGTGAAAACGAAGGTATCCTTACCTGAAATGGGTATGGTTGAACTTCTACGGACCTCACGAGCATGGATATGTACTTTGTTTCTTCGATTTGTGAAGATTTGGGTGGTTTCTAGGTATGTTCGTACAAATGGAGGGGAAAATGGGAAAGAGAGGGCTCGGGACAGGGGGTGCAGGGCAGGGAATAGTGAGGGAAATGTGGGAGAGTATGTGTGTGGTCCACAACCAACCACACCAAGCTCAAAACAACCACACAACGTAAAAATCACACTAGGGGCAAAATCGTCCTTTCACACGTACATTTAAAAAAATTTCGGAACGGGCTGTCACAATTTTTATCAGATTAAATTAAAATTAAAATCGAGTAAAAAATTAAAATTAAATTGTTAATTCAAAATTTCATACATTTATTACAACGGTCTAGTGTTATTCATCTTCTTCACTTATACGTGAGAGGTCTCGAGTTCTATTATGAGGCTTTGACTCACTCCCCACATCTTAATGTAGATATTATTTTATTTTAAAAAAAAAAACATCAAAACTTTGTTTATATATAAGAAAACTAAAATTATAATATAAAATCTTTTGTAAAAAGACTTTCAAAGACCTAAAAAGTTAATTCCAATCGCGTCCCCACCCCAACCCAAACCAAAAAAATAAACGTTCGTCCTACCCCTCAGAAGTGCCGAAGTAGCTAGCTTTGACCCTGTCCCGCAACCAGAGTCCTCTATTCCTCTCCAGTCTTCAACTCCTTGCTGGGTTTTGCTCCAAAAGGTTAGTGGGTTTCCGGGTTTTCATTTCTGAGCTTTTTATTATGTTTTTAATCTACCGCTATTTACATGTGGAGATGGGTGTGACAATGGTGTTGCAGACCATCTGTTTGTGAATATTCCTGAAAGAAATTTTGATTTAAATTGGTGAAGTTTATGATAGATAGCAATAGCAAATTGGTTTTTCACCTTTTGCTTAATTTGGATTGCCCAGTAGCCTACATTAGTCGTAGGCGCGTAGGATGGAGAGAAAAGCTTACTTACACCTGGGATGTCACTGCGGCTGCATCTCACGTCAATCATGCGATGTCATGTATTTTCTTTTGCATATGGCATTGCCTGATTGAATCGGGAAACCGCCACCGTGGAATTCCAGGTTCGAGGAGGTTCTTTCTCCTATGTGGGATTACGTTTAGCCCTTTGACAGTGGTGGCACTTTGTTTTGCTGCTATGTCAGCAGTTGAGCGGTAGGATTTTGCAAGTCTGCTCTGTAATTGTGCAGCCATACGGTTGGTAGTGTCTTATACCTCTTGCCCCATTTTTCTTTATCCACTCCAAACCTTGTTATATATAACCATTTCATGAAATTACAGCTTCATGACTATGCTACTTCCGTGGGTTTTTTCTTCGTTTCCTTATGCAGATCTTCAAGCAATATTCTTGCTGAATTTTACTTTCTTTTCATTAGCCTTGTTCAAACTTTTACTGTCTTAGTGTATTTTCATTGTGAATAAGAAGTTTCGTGTGTTTTTCATGATATTTGAAAGATTTGCTTCTGGTGTGCATTAAACGTTCAACCCTTTTCGTGAAAAGAAAACATCCGGTTCCTGATGCAGGGTGGAGCGGAGATATAGAAAGAAAGTATAAGCTTGAGACGAAGGTTGAAAATGAGCAGCGGGGCTTTGCAAGTTGCTAAGGTGTACCGCCAGCTTCTCAAAGCCGTGAAGAAACACGTTGCGAAAGAAGAGAATAAGAGGCATTTTATAAAGTACGCAACTGAAGAATTTAGGAACAACTGCAAACTGTCAGACCCATCTTCTATTCAGCATAAGATTAAGCTTGCTGAGAACTACACTTTACTTCTTAACAGTGTGCATCATCACAAGGTACTTCTGTACTTCAAGGCTCTAATCAAAGTTTCCTTTCATTACCCTTTGCCAATTTTAAGGCTTTTGGATGTTTCATTATACTAGTTTGCTTTCATGATTGCTCTATTGAATATATGCATTGCATTTGTAGGATAAACGGATACTGAAATGGTTTTGTTTTTAGATGTATCAAGTTCTAGTTTTGCCATTAGACTCATTACTAGTTCAATGTCTGCAGTTAAGAGTCATTACTCGTGCCCACACACAACTGACCCTATCTTTGCGCGTGCGGTGTGACTGACTCTTGGATGATCCTATCATACAACTGACCATTTTGTATGAATGAATATTCATAAAATAATCAAATAGAACCCCTCGAAAACGTTCATGTAAATATTCATAAACTAATCTAAACAGTCTCCATGTGGAGTGTTCTTGAATTGAGCTCTTGAAATGTTTTCCTATTAAACTTATAGTTGGGTGTAATTTCTAATTTACTCGATTTTTTTTTTTTTTTTTCTACATTTGGTGATGGAAAATTAGTATTCTCAGGAATCTCCTCCAGGCTGAGTGATGAGTATGCAGCATTTTCATCTCTGTGCCTACTAGCATCTAATACTTACTACTTTCTATTGCACTAACTTTGTTATCTAAGAAACTATGGGCTTCTTTGGAAGTGGTTTTAGAATGTCTAAAGGCGTTTTTAGAAAAAATATTTTTGGGTTCCAAAAGCACTTGAAGTGCATCCTACAAGAAGCACCGGTTATGTGCTTCTTGTAGAAAGCACTTCAAGTGTTTTTTCCAGAATTCACTTGAATTTTAACTATGGATTGCTTCAAAAATATTTTCACCAAATGCGCTTTCACCCATTTTAAAAGCACTTTTAAACGAGTCTTATAGAGCTTGATCGTAACGTTCTCACTTTATCTTCATCAAACCCTCTAATTTTGTATAAATGCTGTGCAGGAATTGCTGTTCTCTTACAACATTGCTGTGGATAGATCAGATGAGATGAAGAGAGTGCTCGGAAAATCGGCTGCAAGTGTGGGTCTTCAACTTCCTGAGGTGTATCAACCTTGACATTTGCTTGGGTCCATATGCTCCATCCTATATCCTCAGGAATTTTGGTGTTCTATTCATAAATAATTAAAATGTTATTTGTTTGCTGCCAACCTATCGAACCAAACAATTTGTTTGAGAGGTTATTTGTTCTAACAAAAATAAGTTCTGCTGCAGCAGTTGAATCAATCCTTTTTACTTTTGGCCTAAGGAAAAGAAAATATTTCAAATGTTGGGAGTTAATGATTCCACTAAGGGTTTGATAGGTTCGTTTGAAAATGCTTTTACAATAGCTGAAAGCATGTTTTGTGAATATGTTTTTAGAATCAAAATGCAAATGAATATTCGAAAAGCACTTTTAGAACTAAAAATGTTTTCAGTCATTTTAAAGCACATTTGAACTAGCTATGCAGCCAGCAACCAGTGTATGCTACAATTCTATGCCAAATCTCCCTAGTGAGTGTGAAGGCAGAAATGTTACTCCGCCTAAAATATTGCACAAAGTTTATCCAGGCTATACTTCCACTAAGATCAAACATGCATGGATAATTTGGAAGAACGATCCTCTCCGGATTCACTTTGGATCCCTATATTCTAGCCGTTTATCATATATCGTGCGATTAAATTTCGTCAAATACTATTTGAGTTTAATTTTAAATAAAAAAAGTCAAATGATTTCTGATCGCACAATACACGATAAATGGCTAAGATGTGAGAATCCTTAATATTTTCACAAAATGAATCCGGATAGAATCTAATTCCGGATAATTCATCAATGCTTGAACTCGACACGTGGTGATTTCTGTGTATCCCACGTGGCACCAATATTTCTAGGCTGTGGCACCTGTAGGCTGTAGTAACTGATTTTGGCTTCTTGTTTCTTTTATATAAATCTACACTTTGACTGAAGTAAATCTGTAGTACAAAATAGAGAATAAAATCGTCTCCAAAATTTAGCACAAGTTGTGGTTTTCATTTCTAATCAACCAAAAAATGGGTTCAGAAACGTTTCTGGAAGTGATATTGGCAATCATCCTCCCAACTGTGGGACTCTTCCTTCGTTTTGGCTGTGGAGTGAGTTATTGTTTCACCCTATATTCCCCAAATGCCAATTCTTTTTGAGAAATTAATCGTCCGGAATGATCGTTTCTCCAATTTCAATTGCTGAAATTATTCGTTTATCAGCATGTCGTTATATTATTTTAATCAGTTCAGCAATTGAAATGATTCTTTTATTAGTATGACGTGGACATGATTTTGACCAATGCAGAGCAATTGGGATTTGATTTCGGATTATCTTAGGGGGGTGTAGTCAAATGAGGATTGTAAAGGATTTTAAAAGACTCTAGAATCATGATGTAGTTAGTTAGGATTTTAAAAGATTTTAAAAGAATCCATTTAAATACATGGGTAGTCAATTAAAGGATTTTAAAAGACTTTAAAATCCTGGTGTAGTCAACTAAGATTTTCATATAGTCCATGCAAATCTAAAGGTATTAAAAAAATCATAGATTTTTAAGGATTTCTTTCAATAAGAGATTTTGTAGGATTTGAGAAGGGATTATAAGCATAACAAAATCCTACCTCCACCCCTGAGATTTATTTTCAACCCCCTCACTCTTACTCTCTCTTTATCTCCATTCTGCAATTCGATCTTTCTTTCTCGCTGTCCATTTTCTTCCAAACATAGAACTTGCCAACCTGATTTCCCTTCACATTCATCCATCACCGTCCTAGTTGCAAACTTGAATTTTTTGAATTTTTTATTTCCTTTATTTTAGACTGTGTAATAGTATTTCTTGTAATGCTTTGCTGGGAAGTGTTAATGGCCACTAGCAGTTCTTGTAATATTTATGTGTTCTATCTGAAGGTGTTAATTTTTTACCATGTTAATTGAACTCTTGGAAATTACTACTAAGAATCTTATTGCCAATTCAAGTTTTCTATTCTTTTTCGTGTAATCATGTTAGTGCAAGCACAAACATCTTCCAACGCCTATTTATATTGGTAGCTGTACTTTTATTGAACAACACATTATGAACTAATCAAATGTTGAGAAAAAATGATTAATTTTGAGACATTTGATTGATTTAAGAAGCACTACTTGTTTTGGTTAGTTAAAATTATTTTTCGTAAAGAAATCACAAAAGGGAGAGAAAAGACATATTTGATTGGTTTATATTTCCATATCAATATACATATATGTTTAGGTTTTTTTTTCAGATTGTGTACTGAGAAAAGAATTTATAAGTTGTATGAGTCAAAAAAGAAATCCTTACAAATCTATAGAAATCCATAATAATCTGTCAAAATTCATATGGAATTGTAGAATCTATTAAAATCCTTACAAATGTGTCACTTAAAAAAGTCCATTAAAATCTTTTGAAATCTAAATTGACTACACTTTAGTGTATTTACGTTTTATGTTTATTGTGGGAAAAAGAGTATTTATCAAATATAGCCAAATATTAGCCTCTAATTTCAAAAATGTCAGTTTTTATATAAACTTTCAAATATATCCAAAATATCACTTAAATAGACACAAATACCCTTAATTCATACAAATAACTAGTTGTTGATTAAAAGATTCTTGTGCGATAATCAAGTGGTGCTTTCACTAATTTTTCTAATATGCACCTGAAGAATTTCTATTCCGTAAATATTAAAATATGCTTTTTGCACTTTCTAAAACACAACAAATCTCTCGATTCACTACCATAATCAATGATAACCTTCAAAACAGAATCCAGACACAGACAACAACCTTAATAATGCAAAGGTGGAAAATTAAATGCAAAGCACATTTAATCCAAAGGAAAATTGAGATAAATAATGTTACAAAAATTGACAGTTCATTCTTCGATAAATATTCAATCGAAGGAAGAAAATACAAAAGCAAAGAGAAAACGTAAACGAGGAAAAGTGCAAAAAATTAACCATTTACACTCATCTTTGTTTAGGGGTGCACAATTCTTCACCAACCGTCGAAGTCTTCACTAGGTCTCCTCCAATTTTAAGGTTTAGCTGTGAGAACTCTTCATCTAATTGGGTTTTGGTTTTTAATTTATTAGGTTAAAAGCTTAAGGGTATTAGTGTCTATCTATGTAATATTTTGGATATATTTGAATTTTTTTTATAAAAACTGACATTTATGAAAGAATGTTACTAGACCCACCCCAGTGTCTTTTTTTCCGACCCACATGATAATCCCACCCACCATAGAAAATTAAAAAAGTAAAATGTTATTTCCCCACTCACCATTATTCCCAAAATAACCATAATATTTTATTATTTAAATAACTCTAATATATCTTTAAATAATATTATAAATAAATAAAAATAAAAAATAAAAAAATGCAAGACCTAAGACCTAGACATTCATCATATCCTTCACATCTAACGCCATGCTGCAAAGACCTCGGATCCCCAAACCACTATTCTTCGTCCTTTTTTATCAAAACCGCAAATCTCACACCCAATTCTCTTTTTTCTCCATTGAAGTTTCTTGCCTTCATCTAGCACACGCCCATTCCTTTCTCCAACCTTTCCGTCCATTCTAATCCAAATCTTTCCCAACCTCTTTCCACCAAGATATCACACCCCACCCACCATTATTTATTTATTGTTTTTTGTTTTTTTCAAAATTTTAGTACTGAATTAAATAGGGGTTTAAGAGTCTTCTTTTAAAATGATAAATATGTTATTAGCATTTTCATTAAATGGTGGGTGGGGAAATAAGACACCAGGGTGGGAATATTACCACTCTTATGAAATTAGGGGCTAATATTTGGCTATATTTGATAAATCCTCGTGGGAAAATGCAGGTGGAGTTCTGGATATGTTTGTTGCTGACGATATTGGGATATATACCTGGAATCATATATGCATTGTATGTCCTCGTCGTATAATTAAAAGCTTTGGATGGTCAAGGAGAATAATGGATGATTGCAAACATGATGTGTGTTTTGGTGTGGGTGTTTAGTTTGGTCAAAGGAAAAGATTATGCAAATCATATTTTTATAGCTCGATGCGAAAATCATCTGTTTGCATGATATGTTTCAACCAAACAAAGATTGCAATGCTGGTTGGAGGGAAGTGTCTGGAAATGTTCGGTTTTTTTTTTTTTTACTTCTTTTAAAAAAAAAAAAAAATGTTTACAATTGATTTAAACCAATTCAATGAAATTTGAAACAGCTTTCCGTTATGATAATTATTTGTTACTTCCCAATTATTATAGTGCTGTTATCTTTGTAATCCCTTTATAAATATTGTTATAATGTACATTTCATAAACTACGAAAGTTGTTTTCTACATGGTATCAGACTTGTTTAGCCTAGTCGTTGTGATCTTCGTGCTTTTCGTTATGGCATCCATCACTTTCTCCTCCTTCTTCTCCTCCTTTTCTTTCACTCTTATTATTCTTACTCGTCGATTAATTGATAGTTACTCGTCTCCACCAAACTCATTGACAACCTAGGTTCTAGGTTTAATTAATTGATAGAGCCAAGTGATTTTGGTGGAGACAAGAGAAGCAATATTAGGAGTGGGAGAAGAAGAGGACAAGTATGAAGAGGTAGAGGAAGGGATGGATGCCATGACAGAAAGCATGAAGAAGACGAAGATCGTGAAGAACTCTGATACCATGTTTTCCTAGGTAAAACAATATTTATACCGGGATTACAAAGGTACCAACCCTATACTATTTACAATGTAAATTACAATATCATAACGAAAAAGTTGTTACAAAACTCATTGAATGGGTGATAAATGTTGTGACTCACTCTATCATTTTGGACATTTCAGAAGAAAAAAAACATGGTTTTTCTCAAAACGGGTTATTATATTGGAAGTTGTAACATTATGGTAGTCATCTCCCCTCTAATATCATATTTTGGTTTCAGTCTCTTAGACCAACTCCAATGCTTGGTATAGATTTGTAGGTCATAAAATTTAGAGCTTGTTTGGTATTTTATTAAAAAAACTGTATTATTTCTCAAAACATTTCTTAGGAATATCATTTGAAAATAATTTTTTTAAGACTCAAAAACTTGTTTAGTATGAGATTTAAAATTTTTAGATCTTAAAACTTAAATTGGGCAAAGATATCCAAAGAGAGGGGTTGCATGAAAGGGAGAAAGAGGACAGATGAGGAAAGAAGGTAAGAGAGAACATGAGAGACGGAAAGAAGAGAAGGATCGGAGGAGATTAGGGATGGATATGGGCCAAAACGGGCCTAATTTTGAAGGAACGTGACCCTACCCGTTTTAATCTGTAACGGGATGGGCCGTGGCAGATACAGAGATTTTTAATTTTGGTACCGAACTTTACCCGGCCCATCTGAAACGTGACGGTTCCCCACGGGTTCCAACGATCCAACTCTATTTTGTTTCTTTTATAAAATACATCATTTTTATAAAATAAGGCTACAACCGCTTCACTGCAATGCACAACAGCAGCACATATTACACTTACAGAGTGCACTGCAGCAGCACATATTAGGGGAGTATTGAAGCACAGATTGTGCCCAGCAGCACATATTAATATTATTATCCAAATCCAATCCAAATTAACATCTCCAAGACATCCAATGCAAAATCCAAATTCAAAATAACATTCAAATCCAAAATAACCCAAAAGAAAAATTAGTGAATAAACCTGTTTGTACCCAAATTTACACCATCGGATGAAGAAGTGAAGATAATTTTGTTATTGTTGAAGGATAATATTATGGTTTTTATCATAATAATTATCTTTTAATATGAATTATCTGCATCTTCTTAAACCAGATAAATAGGATGTGAATTATATCCCAAGCAAGGAGTACAGTTCGAATTGATTTGGGATCTCTAACGGCACTTGGAAGCTAAATATGATGATGTGATAAGCCTAGGATTTGATGGTCTTGGATAATGATGAGATAAGAAACCTAGGTAGGCTAGGCCTTTTTGCATGGTGATGGAAGTTATCAGATGAGTTTAAAGGCTTATGATGGAGGTTTTTGATGAGATAAGAAGCCTAGGTGGGCTAGGTTTTTGATATGATGTGATAAAGCCTAGATAGGCTTTATTTTGTTTGAAAAATCACAAAATCTGAAGGATATGCCTTGGCATTTGACACGGATCAATTTCAGTTCCGCAAGTTAGAGTTGTAGTTGGACTCTACAAAATTATCTACCTGTGCCTAGTAGAAGATATGAATGCTATAAATACAAGGTGCGTTACAACAAGTAAAGCTCCCTCCAATTCAACACACAAACTGCCATATGCAAACTCTCGCTCTACGCGAAACCTCTCAATAACCTTAAGATTTTTATTTTCTTTTTCCGCCAACACATCTTCAGTTTGGATAAACAGCACTGTGAAGACAACCAGTGACATCTTTAGTTTGGATAAACAGAATTGTTGTTGTAGAATCAACCGACTGCGGAGTACCATCAGTTTGGATAAACAGCACTGCGTTGAGACCGACTGGTTATCTATCCAAGTCTCGGTCGAGAAGGATTTTCGAATCCTTATTGGCAGAGGTCATCTCATTAGCCTTCTTAGCAAAGTAAGGTGTTACAGATTACTGGGTTCGGCGTATTGAACACCGAGTTGTTTTATGATTGGATATTCATAAGTAAGTTTTAGAGTTCGGCATTCTGACGACCGAACCATATTTACCATTAAGACATACATCTCTTTTGAGTACTTGTGTCTGTATAGTTTGGTGCCAGTTCGGCGTGCTTATACTCTTACGAATATAATCACCGTGACCGAACCCGGTGCCAACGATTCGTGAACTTCGCAAAACTAGCAGCCTTGTCATTAAGCTCTAGAACCCAAAGGCCGAGACGTGTTCCTTCCTCGGCCACAGTCGCAAGATCAAGAAGTTAGCAGCACGCTCAATGCAACATCAACACATTTTACCCCCCGGCCGAGCTCGGTTGACGAGTTGGCATGCCCCGCACACAACCGAATGACTTAGTTAGCTTATTGATTACTCGGCCTGTGTGCCACGTAGGCTTGGTAGTTTTTAGGATCAACAAAACCCTTTGAAAACTTAAAGAACATTGGAGTAATCTATCCATGGTGCCTGACTGAGTGCAAATTATACAGTAATTGGTAATTAACATACAATAAAAATTGTTTAGGGTATGATAGTTATAGATATTTGAATTTGTGTTTAACATACAATAAAAATTGTTTAGGGTATGATAGTTATAGATATTTGAATTTGTGTTCGTTGATTTGGAGCTTAGAAAATACTTTTAAGTGCTTCAGCTTCTCTTATACTTTGTTTGTTGTTAAACCTGCAAGTGCAAAAACCCAGGTCCCAGACCCAGAGTACAAATTAATTGAAACCAAAATGGAACACAATAACTCAAAATCCTTAAATCTAGAAAAACCCTTATTCCTTAAATCCCTAAAGGCTAAAATTTGAATACCTTGTGGCTTCGAAACAGATTGGTCAGAACTCAGGAGTCAGGAGACTCATGACCATGAGGTGGTGGTCGAAGTTGAGAGGAGCAGATGATGGTGGTTGGAGACTCGGAGTCGACTTTAGAGAAGCTGAGGGAGGGAGCTCAGGTATCATGATTCAAGAGAGAAATGAAGAAAGAGGATTGCAGGAGAGAGGGAAGAATAAAAGAGAGGAGAGAAATAGAAGGGGAGAGATAGATTCGGAGTGTGAGGAAACAAGAGACAAAAAAAAAAAAAAAATGAGGGAGCTTTAAGTTTAAGAACTCTAAAATGTGCTTTGGTGTTTCAAGATAATAGACTATATTTTTAAGTTAATCTTGAGTTCAGTTTTTTAAAATAGTTATACAAAACAATTTAAGGCCTAAAACTAAAGTGTTTTTTAGTATAAAAAGTTTGATTTAAGTAAAGTACCAAACAAACCATTAGGTTCAAATTCAAGAACAATTTTTTCCTGCAATGGTTTTGGCTTAAAATCTTGGCATGGGTTATTAAATATTGAATTTGGTAACTTTTAAAAATAAAGTTTATGTAGATTAGCATAATTTATTTTTATGAACATTTTAGCCGTTGAATTTAATTTTCAGTCTTTTTCTACTATTAGACTTGTTCATCTTCGATCACAGCCATGGAGATTGATGTATTTATAAATTAAAATTAATAAATAAATAAATAAATTTGAATTTAAACCGTTGGGTTAACCAACTGTCCAATCACCAAGGTCATCGGATCTACAAAAAGCCATTGAGCTCCGTTTGGAGAGATTTTTCAGTGTGACCGTCACATGAGGTGGTATATCATGTGTCCTTATATAAATTGTGGGTTATGTGTGCTAAAAGGTTAATAACTTAAAAATTAAAATTTTCCACCATTTGCATAAAAACACATAATGTATTATCCGTATTCCTGTCACAACTAAAAATTTATCCTCAGTTTGGATCCGGCAAAGCTGCCAGCTGGTCCCACCGCATGCAGTTCCATAACATACGTATCAATTGCATTAACCATTATGCAGAACATTTCTCAAATCCCTAAAGAATCAATATAAACAACACATGATATACACAATTCTCATCTAACTTTTAAATCTCTTCATTTTGTTTCAAGCACCCTATTTTCTCTTCGGCCATTTCAAAAGTATTTTCAAATGAGCCAATAATCATTGGTAATTAAATCATTTTATGCTGTAAATTCTATCCCAAATCTCCCAAGCGAGTGTTATAGGCAGAAATGTTTATACACATGTTGCGCACAAAGTTTATCCAGGCTAGACTTCCACTGGATCAAACATGCACGGATAAATCCATAGCAAAGGCAAAACTCGACACGTGTTGACCACCAAGTGTCCCACGTAGCACCAAAATTTCCAGGCTGTGACACCTAAACTAACTGATTTTGGCTCTTTGTTTCTTTTATATAAATCTATACTTTGACTGAAGTAAATCTAAAGCACAAAGTAGAGCATAAAATCCTCTCAAATTTAGCACAAATTGTGGTTTTCATTTTTCAATAAACAAAAAAAATGGGTTCAGAAACGTTTCTGGAAGTGATATTGGCTATCATCCTCCCACCTGTTGGAGTCTTCCTTCGTTTTGGCTGTGGAGTGAGTTATTCTTTCACCCTATATTCCCCAAAGGCCATTTCATTTTCAGAAATTAATCGTCCTGGATCTCAATTGCTGAAATGATTCATTTTTTAGTATGTCGTTGATATTATTTTGATCAGTTTAGCAATTGAAATGATTCTTTTATTAGCATGCCGTGGATATGATTTTGATCAGTTTAGCAATTGGGATTTGATTTCTGATCGTTTAGTTTATTTACCTATATACGCATATTGTGGGAAAATGCAGGTGGAGTTCTGGATATGTTTGTTGCTGACAATATTGGGATATATACCCGGAATCATATATGCATTATGTGTCCTTGTCGTATAATTAAAAGCTTTGGATGATCAAGGAGAATAATGGATGATTGCAAACGTGTGTTTTGGTGTGAGTGTTTAGTTTGGTCAAACTTTTGTAATCCAGATCTTAACTTTTCCTTGTACATGTTAATGCCACTATTTTTAGTTTTTGTTATGTTTTTCTTTTTTTTTCTTTTTCTGTCAAATTTTTAAATGTCAAGTTTTTTAGTTTCAAGTGGATATGTATAAATATGCAAACGTAACAATAATATCGAAGTGGAAATCTTAAAAACTCACAAGTAAATTGTTCGAAAACAAAACAAAAATGTTATGGTCTCGAAAACACGAAACGTATGAACACAACGTGAAGGAAAAGATTATGCAAGTCATGTTTTTATAGCTCGATGTGAAAATCATCTGTTTGCATGATATGTTTCAACCAAACAAAGATTGCAATGCTGGTTGGAGGAAGTGTCTGGAAATGTTTGGTTTTTTTTTTTTTTTCTTGTATAAAAGGTTAAAAGTAACATTTCTTTTGAAAAAAAAAAAAAAAAAAAAAAAATATATATATATATATATATATATATATATATATATATATATGTTTACACTTAATTTAAACCTATTCAATGAAATTTGTAACAGCTTTCCGTTATGACAATTATTTGTTACTTCCTAATTAGTATAGAGCTGTTATCTTTGTAATCCCTCTATAAATATTGTTATAATGTACATTTCATAAAGTACGGAAGTTGTTTTCTACATGGTATCTGACTTCTTTAGCCTAGTCGTTGTGTTCTTCGTGCTTTTTATCATTGCATCCATCACTTTCTCCCCCTTCTTGTCCTCTTCTTCTTTCACTCTTATTATTCTTATTCGTCGATTAATTGATAGTTACTCGTCTCCACCAAACTCATTGACAGCTTAGGTTCTAGGTTCGATTCATTAATAGAGTCAAGCGATTTTGGTAGCGACAAGTAGCAATATTAGGAGTGGGAGAAGAAGAGGAGCAGAAGAGGAGAAGTATGAAGAGGAAGAGGAAGGGATGGATGCCATGACAGAAAGCATGAAGAAGACCAAGATCGAACCTAAGGTGAAGAACTCTGATACCATGTTTTCCTAGGTAAAACAATATTTATACCGGGATTACAAAGGTACCAACCCTATACTATTTGCAATGTAAATACAATATCATAACAAAAAAGTTGTTGCAAAACTCGTTGAATAGGTGACGAATATTGTGACTCCCTCTATCATTTTAGACATTTCAGAAGAAAAAAACATGGCTTTTTTCTCGTAAAGGGTTATTATATTGGAAGTCGTAACATTCTAGTCGTCATCTCCCCTCTAATATCATATTTTGGTTTCAGTCTCATAGACCAACTCCAATGCTTGGTATATATATGGATGTGTAGGTCATAAAATTTATAGCTTATTTGGTATTCTATTAAAAAACTGTATCATTTCTTAAAACATTTCTTAAAAATATCATTTGAAAATAATTTTCTTTAAGACTCAAAAACTTGTTTAGTATAAGATTTAACATTTTTAGATCTTAAAACTTAAATTGAGCAAAGAAATCCAAGGTGGGGTTGCATGAGAGGGAGAAAGAGGACAGAGGAGGAAAGAAAGTAAGAGAGAAGCGGAGAGATAGAAAAAAGGGAAGGATCGAAGGAAATTAGGGATGGGCACGAGCTAGGTCAGGTCCAATTTTGAAGGAATCTGACTCTGCCCATTTTAATCTGTAACGGGATGGACCGAACCGGGTACAGAGATTTTTAGTTTTGGAACCGAATTTTACGCGGCCCGTTTGAAACGGAGCGAGTCTAACAACCCAATTTTTTTTTCTTTTATAAAATACATCATTTTTATAAGATAAGGTTGCAGCCGCTGCACTGCAATGTACAGCATCACTGCAGCAGCACATATTACACTTACAAAAGTTGGTAATTAACATACCAAAAAAATTGTTCAAGGTATGATAGTTATAGATATTTGAATTTGTGTTCGTTGATTTGGAGCTTAGAAAAGACTTCAAGTGCTTCAGCTTCTCTTTTACTCTGTTTGCTGCTAAGCCTGCAAGTGCAAAAACCCAGGTCCCAGACCCAGAGTACAAAATTAATTGAAACCAAAATGGAACACAATAACTCAAAATTCCTAAATCTAGAAAAACCCTAATTCCTTAAATCCCTAAAGGCTAAAATTTGAATACCTTGTGGCTTAAAAATGGATTGGTCAGAACTCAGGAGTAAGGAGACTCATGATCATGAGGTGGTGGTCGAAGTTGAGAGGAGCAGATGGTGGTGGTTGGAGACTTGGAGTCGACTTTAGAGAAGCTGAGGGAGGGAGCTCAGGTATCATGATTTGAGAGAGAAATGAAGAAAAAGGATTGCAGGAGAGAGGGAAGAAAAAAAGAGAGGAGAGAAATAGAAAGGGAGAGATAGACTCGGAGTGTGAGGAAACGAGAGACAAAAAAGAAATGAGAGAGCTTTAAGTTTAAAAACTCTAAAACGTGCTTTGGTGTTATAAGATAAGGGATTATATTTTTAAGTTAGTCTTGAATTCAATTTTTTAAAATAGTTATACAAAACATTTTAAGGCCTACAACTTAAAAAGTCATTTGGAGTTTAAAAAGTTGGATTCAAGTAAAGTACCAAACATACCATTAGGTTTGAATTTGAGAATAGTTTTTTTCCTGCAATGGTTTTGGCTTAAAATTTTGGCATGGGTTATTAAATATTGAATTTGGTAACTTTAAAAAAATAAAGTTTATGTAGATTAGCATAATTTATTTTTATAAACATTTTAGCCGTTGAATTTAATTTTGAGTCTTTTTCTACTAGGGGTGTGATATCCACACCCCATTTTACTTTTCACACACTTTTTTAATTTTTGACTGTCGAATTGGATGAATTGAAAAAGATCAACGGACATAAATTATCAAGAAGTGTGTGAGAAGTAAAATGGGGTGTGTGGATAGCACATCCCTTTCTACTATTAGACTTGTTTATGTTCGACCTCAGCTACGGAGTTTAATGTATTTATAAATTAAAATTAAAAAAAAAAATTTGAATTTAGACCGTTGAATTAACCAATTGTCCAACCACCAACGTCGTCGGATCTACAAAAAATTATTGGGCTCGGTTTGGATCCGCCAAAGCTGCCAACTGGTCCCACGCATGCAGTTCCATAACATACGTATCAATTGCATTAACCATTATGCAGAACATTTCTCAAATCCCTAAAGAATCAATATAAACAACACATATATATACACCATTCTCATCTAACTTGTAAAGCTCTTCATTTTGTTTCAAGCATTAGGGGTCCTGAGTCCTGACTTTTAAGGATAGTTTATCTTGATTTTCTATTGTGATTAGTCATTGGACAGTTAGTTTGTTATTGGATAGTTATAGGTTAGATTTTGATGAGCTGTCAAAATATAGCTCTCAGCTTTCTATATAAATATCTCTGTACTCTAATTATTCAAGGTAATGGAAATACTTTCCTAATATGGTATCACCCGCCTTTATCTATCGACCTCTCTCTTCGATCCAAACCCTTTCGTTTCCTACTGCGATTTTCCTCTTCTCTGATTTTCTGATCTATTTCTCGATTGTGTTTGATCTCTTCGAGCTTTTCTCATCAATTCAGCCATGGCGTCTCCTTCGTTGGAATCGGCTTCTCCAATTCATCCATTTTCGACTCCTTCTCCAAACCCTAATTCTTCAAGTTTTACCTCTATCACGATCCAAAACATCAGATCTATGGTATCAATCAAGCTCACCACTACAAATTACTTGACCTGGAATGCTCTCTTTGCACCAATCTTTCGTCGTTATAATCTTACCGGTCTCGTTGATGGATCTATGGCGGCGCCGCCTCAATTTCTCCTTGATTCTTCCGGCAATCGCACTCTGAACCCTGCCTATGTTTCTTGGTATGAGAATGATCAAAATATTCTCATCTGGATCAACTCCACACTTTCTGAATCCCTAATTCCCTATATTGTTGGTGTCAATTCTTCTCGAGAGCTATAGTCTAAGCTTGAATCGCGCCTTGCAGCGACTTCTCAGTCTCACATTCATGAACTCCAATCTCGTCTTCACAGCAAGCGATTCCACTACTGCTGCTTATCTTTAACAAATTGAAGAAATCGCTGATGCTCTTGCCAGCGCCGGAGCTCCGGTTGAAGACTCTGATTTAATTTCTGTAACACTTCATGGTCTGCCGTCGGAGTATGATTCCTTTGTTGATGCGATCCAATTTCATCTCAGTTCTACAACACTTGATGAGCTACATGGATTACTTTTGAGAAAAGAAATTCAGCTTGCCACTCGCAAGAAAGCTACTACATCCTCTGGTGTTTTTCAGGCCTTCAATTCGAATCTTGCATCATCATCTGGCATTCTACCTACACCGACTTCCAATTCTGGTTCTCTCGCCTTTCTTGCTCAGAATTCATCTCAGTTTAATCAGTATCAAGGTCGTTCTCAAGATCGCAATCAGTCAAACCCTAGGCATTTTCAAAATAAGGGCAATTTCTCCGGCTATCGTGGTAACAATCAGCGTCAAAATTACAATCGTTATACTTAGAGGAACAATCGTGGAGGCTGCTCGGGTTCTAATTTCAATGGAAAACGAACCACTTGTCAAATATGTCGTCAGTATGATCATGAAGCATCTGATTGCCTTCATTGTATGAATCCTCAGTTTGGCAATCGCCATTCTCAGATGGCTATGTGTGCTAATCCTTCACAGACTGCTTCTCCTTCTTGGCTTCTTGATTCCGGAGCTAGCTCCCATATGACAAGTTCTATGGCGAATCTTCAACATCCAGAACCATAAACAGGCCCTGAACAAGCCTACATTGGTGATGGCAAAGGTTTGCCTATATCTAATTGTGGTTTTTCCTTTATATCTACTTCTCAGCATCGCTTTGTTTTGCATGATGTGTTACATGTGCCTGATTTAAAGCAAGATTTACTCTCTGCAAATAAATTTATTCTTGATAATTGGTGTTCAATTCATCTATATCCTTTTCACTTCACTGTGAAGGATCTTACTTCGGAGATGACGCTTTTTAAAGGACCTGTACAAAATGGATTTTATCCTTTCACTGCATCTGTCAATGATGGTTTGCCTAAGCTTTTTGCAGCCACTGTCAAAGCTTCTCCAGAGATTTGGCATCAAAGATTGGGCCATCCCTCTTTCAAAGTTTTACATAAACTTGTTTCTAAGTCTAGTATTCCTCTCACTACTAGTATAAATAAAACTTTTTGTTCAGATTGTGCATTGGGTAAAAGTTCAAAACTGCCATTTGTATCAGCTTCTAGTGTTACAACTAGACCTTTGGAACTTTTACACGTAGATGTTTGGGGTCCAGCTCCACTGCTCTGTATATGGCTATCGGTTTTATCTTCTTATAGTGGATGATTTCACTCGATATAGTTGGTTCTTTCCGATCAAATGTAAATCTGACGTATTCAAAACTTTTGTTGAATTCAAAGCTCTTGCTGAATCTTTGTTCAATAATAGAGTTGTCACTTTACGATCTGATTCTGGAGGTGAATTCCTTAGTTCCGTGTTTACTCAATATCTTAAAGACAATGGTATTCATCATCAACTCTCATGCCCTCACACACCAGAACAAAATGGTTGCGTGGAGCGCAAGCATCGACATTTAGTAGAAGTTGCTCGCACACTTTTAGTTGCTTCTCATGTCCCTCATGTTTACTGGGTTGAAGCATTCTCCACAGCGGTTTATCTCATCAACAGATTGCCTACTATGTCTCGATCCTGTCTTTGGGAACAACTTTTTAGCAAGTCTCTAGATTATACAACTCTTAAAGTGTTCGCGTGCAGGTGTTTTCCTTGGCTAAAACCCTATGTAGCTTCTAAACTTGAACCCAAAAGTAAGCCCTGTGTCTTTCTTGGCTATAGTCTCAATCACGAAGGCTATAGATGTCTTGATATTCATTCCAAAAAGGTTTATATTTTGAGGCATGTCCTCTTTGATGAACTGACCCTCCTATTTCATCAAGTTTCTCCAGTTTCATCATCTTCCTCCTCACCTTCTACCTTTTCCTCTCTCATACCTTCCACTCTTACCTTCACCAAAAACCCTGCAGCATCTTATCCTCCTCCTCCTCCTCTCAACCAACCTGCTTCTTTTCCTAACTCAACCTCTTCTTCTCATATTACTACCTCCCCCCACCCTGTCTCTCCTCCTTCCTTACACATCTCACCAACCCCTCCTCTCAACACTCACCTTATGCAAACAAGATCCAAATCCGGCATTTTTAAACCCAAAGCCTATTCAGCTACCAAACACCCTCTTCCTTCACACATTTATGTAGATTATCTTCCTGCTACTTATCTCCAAGCTTCCAAACACCCTCACGAGAGACAGGCTATGCAAGAGGAATTTAATGCACTGGTTAACATAAGAACTTGGTCTCTTGTTCCCCCACATGCTTCTCAGAATCCTATTGGCTGCAAATAGGTGTTTCGAATCAAAAGGAACGCTGATGGTACTATTGACAGATATAAGGCTCGTTTAGTAGCCAAGGGTTTTCATCAACATAAGGGTTTAGATTATACAGAAACTTTCAGTCATGTGGCTAAACCAGTTACTATCAGGCTTCTTCTCACACTTGCATCACAGTATGATTGGTTTCTCAATCAGTTAGATGTTACTAATGCCTTTTTACATGGCAATCTATTTGAAAATGTGTTTATGCAACAACCATCTGGCTTTCAAGACCCTACAAAGCCACACTATGTTTGCAAGCTACACAAGAGCCTTTATGGACTAAAGCAGGCTCCTCGAGCCTGGTATGAGAGGCTTCACAGTGCACTTAACTCAATGGGCTTTCATGGATCACAGAATGATCATTCTCTCTTTGTCAAGAATGATCCCTCTCTGGTGTTTATCCTAATCTATGTTGATGACATCTTGGTCACGGGTCCATCTTCACAAGCTTGCAAGGACACAATAGCTCAACTGAGTTCTCTCTTTCCAATCAAGGATTTGGGTCCTCTTCATTTTTTCCTTGGGATTGAGGTAAAAAGGTCCTCATCTGGTATTTTCATTTCCCAGACCAAATATATCCTTAATTTACTTACCAAGACCAACATGGTTGGTGCAAAACCCTGTGCTACACCTCTAAGTACATCAAAACTGGATCACTCTTCTCCACTGCTCTCTAATCCAGAGAAGTACAGATCAATTGTAGGAGGGTTACAATACCTTACTTGGTCTAGATCGGATCTCTCATTTGCTATTAACTTGGTCTGTCAGTTTAAGCATCAACCCCGGCAATTTCGCTTGCAAGCAGTCAAAAGAATATTGCGATATTTGAATGGAACTCTTGATTTAGGTCTCTGGTTTCCAAAAACTTCAAGTTCTCTCACTGTTAATACCTTTTCAGATGTTAATTGGGCAAGTTATGCTTTGGACAGAAGATCAACTGGAGGGTTTTGTATTTTTCTAGGGAACTCTCTTATTAGTTGGAGTGCTAAAAAGCAACCAACAGTGGCTTGCTCATCCACTGAAGCCGAGTATCGCTCTCTTGCTAACACTGCTGCCGAGCTTTCTTGGCTCTGTAAATTGCTTGTTGATGTTGGTGTGTCTCTCTCTTATCCTCCAAAATTGTGGTGTGATAACATTTCTGCGATTTCCTTAGCCAAAAATCCTTTGTTTCATGCAAGGACTAAACATGTGGAGATTGACTATCATTTTATTAGGGAAAAAGTCATCTCTAAAGCTGTAACTGTTCAGTTTGTGTGCTCACAGGATCAACTTGCCGATATCTGTGCTAAATCTCTATCTAAGTCTCGTTTTCTGTTCCTCAGAGACAAACTATCACTTCAGTTGCCTACGCTCATTTTGAGGGGGCATATTAAGGATAGTTTATCTTGATTTTCTATTGTAATTAGTCATTGGACAGTTAGTTTGTTATTGGATAGTTATAGGTTAGATTTTGATGAGCTGTCAAAATATAGCTCTCAGTTTTCTATATAAATATCTCTGTATTCTAATTATTCAAGGTAATGGAAATACTTTCCTAATACTGACAACTCGATGTTTTGAACACAAGCAAAAATGTCGTACTATCGTTATCCTCGACTTAATCACAGATCACAAGAAGATCGTGCCCATCAATAGACGGGTTCCAAAAATAAATTCATAGATGTATAATACACTCGTCAATGAGATTCTATCGACGAGTGCCATAAAAAAAAATTGATGCCACTGGAACGTAAGCCCCGTTCAGTTAGTCCAGCAAAGGACCAAGCGAACAACTATACCGTCAGCTGAGGATATCCGGGCTTGAAGCCTGTAAAGCTCCACGCGTATCTCAGCCTATCGAACAACAAGTCGATAAGACTCCAAACACTCGGAGGTTACCTGTTTCCAGGCCTGCATCTCTGCAGATCATGGACCCAGGGACTTTCCTGGGCCTCGTTCCGTTCACAGAATTGTGGCCCGATCACTTCGTCCGGTGGCATCGTTGGTAATTTTACCCCAAAGGTTTATAAGGCCAAGTAAAATTATTACTTTTTCCGATGAGGGATGTGAGGACATAAGAACAAATCCATGACTGAAACAGTAATGTTATTTTTACCATGTTTTTATACCATATTTATATATCATATTATGTGGCATTGAATGTGGACATCTACATCATTTAAATTAATCAGAATTTAATTTAAATTAAAAACTATTTAATAAATCAATAATTTTAAAAATAAAAAAAAAAAAGTTGAAATTAAATAGTGATTGTAGCATACGAGGAATCTTCTCCTTTTTTTCCCGTTCAATTCTACTTTTTCTTCTGTTTCTTCTTCCACGCCTGTTCTTTCATGCCATTTTTTCAGGTCTGTCAAATCCACCACAATCTAAATTAATTCTCATATGGCAAGGTTCATGCGCTTCCCTATTTGGATTATTGGTACACATCTATCATTTTTTTCAATGAACCTTGCCGCACACTTGCAGTGGAATTTTCCAAACTCGTTCAATTCTAGTCAACCCTGAAACCCTGATTTAGGAGATGGAATGCCTCCGGTGTCTTGAAACTAACTTTGAATCGCCAGGAACATTCGAAGTTGGACTATGAGAACTCCAGGATGTCTCTGAGCTCTTGTTCTCTACATGCCCCTTCCCCACATACCACAATTTGTCGAAGATTTTCCTTGACCTAGATGGCAGCGAAACTTGGCAAGAAGAGCAGCAAAAACAGCACAAAGTGGTGCGCAATCACCATTGAACGGGGAAGGAAGAAGAAGACTCTTCGTATGCCACAATCACCATTTAATTTCTGCTTTTTTTCTTTAATTATTGGTTTAATAAATGATTTTTAATTTAAATTAAATGCTGATTAATTTAAATAATGTGATTGTCCACATCAAATGCCACATAAGATGATATATAAATGTGGTATAAAAACATGATAAGAATAACATTACTATGATTGAAAAAGTAAAAAGGGCAAACATGTCATTTTACTGAGGTAGGCAAGAGTAAACAAAGAATTTTTAGGATATTCATATATGATTCCTATATAAATCCTATCTGAATCTACTTCAACTTCACACAAGGGTTGATCAGATTCGTATTGTTTTGGCGAAAATATTCATGATATGTAGGGAATCCTATCTGAATCTACTTCAACTTCACACAAGGGTTGATCAGATTCGTATTGTTTTGGCGAAAATATTCATGATATGTAGGGAATCATTTGTGATAAAAATCCAATATAAGAATAAACCAGAAATTTTAGTAGTTAGATACACTGATCCGAAAAACACAAACCTTATAAACACAATGTGAGAGAAATATTTATATGATACCGAACACGTTCTCAGACATTGAGATATGTCGATTTTGGTATAGGATCAGACCTCTTGTTTGGTTTCATGGAACCAACGTTGCAACTAATATCAAGTTGAATATAGCTCTTCAGCTCACAGCCATGCAAAGGTTCCAAACTTGAAAAAGAAATCAATGTCTAGGGAATCCATCACTAGCCAATACAGAGCTTAATTGGAATAGATGTCGGAAATTGACGTTTCTTTTTGGTTTTCGGTTGCTAAAATTGGTTTAAACCGATCTGCTGCTATACTAATTCTGTGATCAAATTTTTGATTAAATCTTTGAAGGGTCATATTCAACACGGTTAAAAATGCAGTCCTTCGGAGCTCCTACTTCCATGGAAGTCGAAGAAGCAGATCCACCAAGGTCTTTGCCACCAAAGCCATCGTTTGAGCGTTTGAAGGCTCTTGAGATGTCCGACGGTCAAGTCCAGTTCACGTAAGTCTCGGTTCCGCCTCATCGTTGTTCGCCTCTCAAGAAAGTATGGATGGACACATACCCCGGTTTACGAACAGATGATAGACATCCTTATGAATCTTATCATGCAAACATTGTGATCACAAACCATAGATTAAATCCAAATCAACTTTTGTTAGTCCTACATTTCCAAAATTTTGTTTCAGTTGGACACATCCAGAATTGAGTAACCGATAAGTTGTTACTAACTATCATCTAAATGGGAAACAACGCTACCACGACAGAGACTTAAGGCATAGACGAGCTCCCTCGATAAGCTTAAGACCTTGGCTTTTCCTTCTTCTCCTTGAAGAGGGCCAACAGAGAGACACCAGATACCTTCACAACCTTGAACCTGACTCCGGGAATATCTCCCACTGCATGCCCCTTCCGTCCGAATCCAGCAATCAACACCTCATCCTGCGCAAACCCAATCACGTACATATCACTAAGTTAAGAAAACTGAGATGATACCAAGCATTCCGGGACTGTTATACAAGAATTAAAACTCTTTGCAGATCAAGATCCCAATCATTGAAATGGGATTTGAAACAAAATCTGACATACTGGATGATGATGGAACTTACATTTTCCTCAATGTAGTTTAAGCAACCATCGTTGGGTACAAAAGCAGCAATCTTCTTTCCATTTTTGATCAGCTGAACACGAGCACATTTTCTAATAGCAGAGTTAGGCTGCTTAGCCTCAATACCACTGCATTAACCATCCACAATGTGTGACAATTCGATTTAAACCTAAACGTAGCATAAAAAACAAAATACAATGTTTGGGGAAAAGAGGGAGAGAGATAGAGATCGTACATCTTTTCTAGGACAATGCCTTTGGCATGAGATGAACCAGAAAATGGCTTTTTCCATTCATTCCCAAGGTGGGACTTCTTGTACGACTTGTCAGCCCACCTCTGATTCCTGCGGTGGGTCTTGAGCTTACGAGCAGCTCCCATTCCACGTGTTTTCCTGCAAAACACACACAATCTCTTAATTTCACTTAAAACCAGTATTCAAGAGCCAGAAAATGCAATCCAATCTTAAAACCAGTTTACAAGGGCCAGAAAATGCAATCCAATCTCAAGGATACAGAAGCATCAATGCACCACCGTTAAGTTCAAAACAATCAGGCAAGCATTAGTCAAGCAAAAAAAAAATTAAAGGCAACTGGTCACGTTTCCTTGCATTCAACAAAAGAGTTCAAGTATGATTACCAACAAATCATTAGACGCCCCATGGCACAATTTAACATCAATACCCACATATAATTCAATTCACTCCTAGACCATACGCTACTTGTTCCCAATCATTCATAATACGACTCCTACATATCGCCCGTAAACTTAACACAGCTTGTTCACATTACCGATGAACCTTAACAGTACAATGTCGCTTTGATCTCGAATACAAGAACCGAGGCTTCAATCACATTTGTTCTAATTACATCATGTTTCCTTGGAAAAATCATGTCCTAATCTCATTGTCCCCAATCAAACAACAAACTAAGCTTTGCCCAACCTTGATTTACCTCATTCGACCCGAACATAATTCAAAAAAACTATTAACTAATTCTCTTTTGCTTCAAACGCTTTCAAGGCAAACCAAATAGAAACTTTTGAAAACAGAAAATTAACCACACAGATACATTGCGAAAACATAAACCCTAACCGAAATGCCTTAAAGTTTCGATTTTTATCACGAAAATTTTCAGTTTGGCTGCACAGAAAGCTTGGGAAAATACCAATACACCAGATCCGAGCCAGTACTCTTAATCAAAGCAAAACAACGAGATTTTAGAGCGAGAGAGAGATAGAGGAGAGAGAATTCGGTACCCCATGGCGGCTGAGAGAAGAGGGCTCTGGACTGCAGCGAAGGTACTGTGAGGTGTGAGGCGGAGGGGAAAATGCCGGCTGCTGAAAAACCCTAAACTCCGCTTTTTCAATTCAGAGATGAGAGATTTTATCTATATATATAAAGTGGGAAGGATTAAAAGGTAAAACATTCAAAATACCAAAAATTGTCCTTCAAGAATTCTTAAAATTACAATTGAATCATAAGAATTTAAAGTAATTCACCACATTTTAATTTTGAATGAATTTTAAATTTAAAACTTTAATTAAAAAAAAACTCCCATGTTAGTGGGCGGTTTCATGGTTTTGCTTCATTTTTTATTATGAATAATTTTTTAATAAAAATATAAAATAGTTATTTAAAAAAAAAATTAAAAGACATAACCTAATATAAAAAGGCCAATTGCCACACGCGTATGCGTGTGGCAAGAGGCTAGTATATGATTAGCTCTATACTGGCTTCTTTAGGTAGTCGAAACGGCGTCGTACTATACAGACGGAGTTATAATTCTCTTATAAATAACTTTTCAGTAGCATAACTTTCTTAAGTGTTAAATGGCGCTCTCATTTTGATACATATCTCATCAAATAACTTTTCAGTAGCATAACTTTCTTAAGTGTTAAATGGCGCTCTCATTTTGATACATATCTCATCAAAAATTTGTAATATGTTATAAATAAGGAAAAGTTGGAGGGATAGTCTTTACTAGTAATAGAAGAAAAGCAGATGCAAGATATCACACTATTTAGTTTTATACTATAACACAAAAGATTGTAGAGATTGCAGAGAAAGAGGAAGGGAGGGATACTGATATTATTGCTTTCATTTCATTTCTTTTCTATGTATTGTAATCACACACGAAGTGCTCTTTATATAGGGCCACATCCTTGACAAATCAAAAAGTGAAGTGATTTCTCTTTTTGAAAATTTCATATAATAACAATTACATTACTGTGTCCATTTATAAAACATCACATAATATCAATCACACTACTGTGGCCTCTTTGAAAACATCACATAATAACAATCACATTACTGTAGACATTCATTCTCATAATTTTACAACAGAATACCTAACTTTTAATGACAGGATGATTTTCACGTTTTTTTTTTTTTTTTTATATATATATACTTTTTTACACTTAGTTTTTTATTTTTGAGTATCGAATTGAATAAACCGTACGAAAACAAAACTGATATGATATTTTTTTTGGCTCAAGTCGTAGCAGAATTGTCATTCTACAAAAGTTATAGATCCCCTGCCTTCATCTCTTTTCACTACACAACATTACGATCCAAGATCAACGGCAGCAACATTATTAGCCAAACAATCCAATTGTTGTTTCAAGTAATATGCATTATTTTCCTTGTTATTTCCTGCAGGACAATGCATGTTGGGCTCCTCATTCTCCTTGGTTGCTTGGTTGCCCACCCTCTTGAGGGCCTTCCCCATATTCTTGCTTTCTGCAGCATCACTCTCAACTTCTGCAGCATTTTGAACTTCAACGTGCGCTGGACGCCGAGGACTGATGCTGAACGTAGGGCAGGGAGAGCCAGTTTTCCGCAATGCAAGCTTCGCATTCCTCGTCTTGTCAGATGTTCTAGGAGATTGAAGGTTGCCATTTTGATTTTCAGATCCATTTCTGTTAGTGTTACCGTTACCTGTTCGACTTCTAGACACTATGTTGTTTTGTATACCGGAATGAAACTGCATACTTCCACTTGATCTCACCAGTGAACTCTCCTGTCGATTGAAGAGATGTTGTACAATTTAATGAGTTTTTGCTCAACAGCATATAGTGAATTTGAGACACTGAAATCATTTGTTTAGTACAAGAATCCATATGAACTGACCTCGTCGAAGAAGCCAATCTTTGGTGATGGTGCTCGGAGACATGAGGGCTTGATATGTTTAGAAACACTGCTAGGAATAGGGCTACTTCCCGTTGACATATTTCCATCGCGTGGATTCAAGAGCATTGCTGCTTGATTTCCATGTCCAATGCAGGGTTGATCCTGTGAATGGCTCTCCAGAATTGATTCCTGAGAGATATCACTATCAAAAGAAGCCTGTCCGCCGATGAAAGTATTCAGACCGACCTCAGACTTCTTCCATCTTTGATTCACAGACGTTGATGAAGATGCGGAGGACCAGCCATCAAAGGAACTAGCAGGTGATGTATAAGGGGACGACTTTGGTGTGCACAATAGAGTTGAAGGCTGCCAAGAAGTTTCCAGTTCACCGTTGTTTTTCTTTGTGGATTTCAAAGGAGTTCCCATGGTAAAACCACGGGAGGCCGAATTGACAAGTGAGGAATCAATTTTGCTCCTCGAATACAATGGAGATTTACTGAACAAGGGAGAACTATAAACCCGAGACTTCTGTGTGGTAGTGGGAGAACAGAATGGAGATGTTTTTGTGGGCGGTGTAAGACTATTGGTGATGCTGCACGATGCGCTTAAGCAAGGTTTTTTTGACACATTCATAGATTGTCCTGCAAGCAAATCATATCAGCTTTTGTTTGAGTTACACTTCAAATTTGCAGAAAGAAAATGAAACACTGGTATGGTTAATATTTTACGTCATCTTCCATCTTACCAGGTGCAGCCAATGCAGTTCCCATTTTTTCATTATTTCCACCCGAACAAGCCCTTTTCGCTGCAAGTGTATAAGATTGGTTAATCCGGCTAGATATCTTTGGCGGTTTGCGAGATGTTGATGAGTTCAGTTTCCCACTTCCAGCAGCACGCTTCATTTCATCAGTACTCAGTTAGATAAAAATATGAGTACAGAACGCACTAAAATCACAGACACATTTACGCATAAACAATGAGTGAAAAATAGATCATTCTACTTAATTATGACATACCTGTTTTTGTGAGAAAGCAGAAGCCTCCTTTAAAATCTTCTCCGTTCCACGCGCATTTAGACTTTGCCTTTCGGATGTTGACATAATAGCTCTCATCTGAATTCCAAAACAGACATATTCATTCTGAAACAACCTCAGAAACATGATTACTCACCAAAATATAACGAAAGAAACTTACCCTCATCCGAGGAGAAGCATCAGGATTCTTGGAAGCTGAAATGTATAAGCAAAACGAGGATACATTTACACAAACCACATGATAGAAGGCAAAGGTGGGGTTGATTTGTTACAAGCGAAAGTCAGTGTACTTACAGCGAACACTTTGCAGGCCTTTGCCTCTTTTCGATTTGAGACTTGAAGTTGTTACACCCGATAAACTAGTCGGTTTCTGTGCAGATGATCTGTTATCTTCGAAAAGTTCGAACTCAAGGCTTGCCATCAAAGAGGAGCATCCACTATTAATTGTAGACATTGACTCAGCAGGCCTGAGAACTTCTTGAATCCTGGGAAGCTGATGCTTTTCAGATTTCTTGAATCCTCTGTTAACTATAGACAATTCCTCAGGATCCAAAACCCCTGATCACAAGAAACCAAACCCGAAATCTATGCAGTGAGAGAGTGTCTATAACAAGCACATGTAATAGTGATTTTTTCAACCAGGAAAAACACATACCTGCAGAAGTGAAAAAGGCATTATCCCAAGCTAAACTTTTACGAAAACTACACCGGTTAATTCTTCGTGTTCTTTCGGGTTCCAAAGACTCCGAAGGCAATAGCATTGCTTCCTCATACCCCAAAAAGTTAATGGCGTTGCCTGTGGTTTGAGAATTCATAGTCTGAAGCAGCTCCTCAGGCTCCAACACCCCTAAAAATATGCACAAAATGTAAACTTTCTGCAGAGTGAGCAAGAAATATCAAAGAAATTAAGACCTTTTTATATACAACATATTATATATATATATATATATATATATATATATATATATATCTGAATAAGAAACCTGGACTTGTGAAGAAGGCACTGTCCCAAGCCAAACTCTTTCGGACATTAAACTTGGGATTCGTGGTGTCCTGTGGACTCCCAGTCTTAAACAGTCCAGACCCATCAAGCTTCTCCCTGTTATCTGAATTGGGTACAAATCAGAATTTTGCTTTAGTACCAAAGTTGTCACCTTTTTACGGAATTCATGTTTCATGTCGCAGAATTGGGAAGATTGGCTTTTGGGAAAATGCAGGAAAAAAAAAAACAGAATTTAAAGAAAAAGAAAAAGAAATGAGTTTCTTGAAGAGAGAGAGGACCTGGGAAGCCAAGTTGAAAATCGCCATTGGAGGACATCGCTGTTGTTCTGGAGCTTCTTGGAGTGAAGATTAATATTACTGGATGACGATTGACGAGGGAGAAAGAGAAGCTAAGAGAAGAGGGACAATTCGAAGCAAGAAAATTCAAATTTGTGTGTTGAGAATCAATCAACGGCGATTATTGGAGATACCGAAACTGAAAGAAACGCCTGATTTACTGGTATCCTATTTTGTACATATTTTTGGGTGAAAAATCATCCGTTTGATATGCATGCAATATTGCGACTCTGAATATATAGTCAAACCATTTGTCAACGGACAACTGCAGTCAACGATGTATGCAATTTACCACCAACAAAAAAAAAGGGGAAAAGTGATGTTTTCTTTTTATTTTCTTTCATTTCCACTATGACGATGTTTATTTTATTTGTTGTTGGATCATGAATATGTATGCCTTTGAACAATCACAAAATGTTCTCTAGATATGTAAATTCACTTACCTATGGTCGAATCGAAGCATGATTTTGATCTTCTCGAGTCTGAACTCTCACGGATGCTTCTTTGGGCAGAAGGGGTGTTGAGGGAGAACGAAAGTTGTAATCGCATAGGATCCCAATATATATGCTACATATTAGAAAATATTGATTTTATTAGCATTTTAAAAAAAATCGCTTAAGTGCTCTCTCTCTAACCCATTCATCTTTTTCGATTTTTACCTTTTCATTCGTTGGTTTTGTGAATTGGGTTTGTTTAATTTTGCTTTTTGATTAATGGATTTATGGAGTTGAAGTGATTGGTTTGGTTTTTCTTGGAGGAGACCCGAATCCTTTATTTTTTATTTTTTTATTTTTTATCATTTCTTTGATTTATATGTGGATTTTATTTTTTCTATCTTCTCCCTCCCTCTGCTCCCTCTCTCAATCCAAATTTACAAGCACTAAAATAGGGTATGGCTTTGCTGCAATTAAATGAAAAAATGTATTAAATGTCAGTTGCTTTATGGAGAAGAGATAAATTTGAGGGAAAAGAGAGAAATCATAGTGGAAAGAAGGAAGAGAGAATGATATGGATGAAATTGTTTCACATACTCGTTCGTTTTCTTCGTATTAAGCTCGCTCATACACTGTAGTACACGACATGCACAGGACATGCACATGTTATGCTTATAGGTATGGGCTCAATTCAAAAACCCATAGCTCATAGCTTTCTCTTCGAAATCAGAAAAATGAACCTAAACTTTATATGAAGAATCGAAGATTCATTAATTTGAATTTGGTATCAAATCTGATTAGGTTCAAATGTTTCAAGGGTTTGAAAAAATTGCAGTTTGAATGGGCACAAAAGAACCCAACTGAATCAAAGGAAATTGTTTCACGAACTCGTTCGCTTTTTTTCTTATTTCCAGGGCCTGCTTCTGAATCAAAGGAAAAAGTAGTAAATTACATTAATGCGAAGAGTATCGGAGATGTAAATATGCACCATCTACACATAATACACTATATGCACACCATATGCACATAATATGCATAGTACATGCACATGATATGCACAAAACGAGAGAAACTTTAACGACAACATATTGGTATAGTGGATACAATTAAAACATAATTGTTATGTATATAAGGTTATAGTGACGGGTTTGAAAAGTCTTGTTACGTATATCAACCACCGCTTAACCGTGAACATGGAAAACATGATACTAGTTGTCTTTATATTTCATGGACACGCATGACCCTTAACGTCCTCTAAGTTTTTTTATTTTTTTATTTTTATTAATTTTGTTTTTCACCTAGGCCAACTAGGTTGTGGTCATACTCGCTAAACTTTGGGGCACAACATATGTGCATCATAACTAGTGAACATTCTTGCTTCTCATATTAAGATGTAGCCATGCACACTATATGCGCACCACATGCATATTATAGAAAAAAAATTCACAAATTTCTACAATTGAACACTTAAACCAGAAATTGTTCCATCCTAGTCTTGTAGCACGTCAAACTTGAAATTTATTCCAAAGCCCATACGCCTCAACATGAAACACCAACCCTAAATTAACTTCTAACTATTAGTTCATCTTACAAACAACCCATTTATTCCATAAATCATTAATGAAGGAACTTAGAACTAAACACCCTACCTTACTATGCCTACCGAAGCTTTAGTCGTTGGAAAAAATGGAACTTTCCGACCAAAACAGAAAATATGGTACAAAACCCAACTCACTCTTCTCACCTTTCTCTTGCATCCCTATGTTCGAAATCAAAGGTATGAGGTGAACCCAAAGCCCAGCTCAATCTTCTTGCCTTTCTTCAGACTTCTATCGCTTCGAAATCAGAGCTCAGAGATCTGAGGAAGGGAGAAAGAGTATAGAGAGAAAGTGAGAGGAGAGAGAGAGAGGAAGGGACAGAGAGTAGAGAGAGAAATCAAAAAATGGGAGGAATAACCTGTTTATATGTGGGTATTTTAGTAATTTCAATTTTGTGCATGGTGTGCCTGGTGTGCATGGCCGGTTTGTCCTATTTCTGTCCCAAGATTAAAAATTGTCCCATTCTGGGGTATTTTCCAATTTTTTTTTTCTAAACATATATAACAATTTGGATCGCACAACTAGATATTTGAAATGCAGATAACAACACTCTAAAAAACAATTATTGTTTTTTCAAATTTATTATATAAGAATGTTATATATTCAAGTGAAAAATTGAGGGTAGAGTTTTTGAAGTTTTTTTTTTTTTTTTTTTTTCTTGTTTGGTTGGTTTAAGATTGAAGTGTTTTTTAATATTTAGTAAAAGTTACGATTGTAGCTCTTTTTACTTATTATTTAATGATATTTTTAAATTTACAATCAGTAAGTCCTAAAATTTATTTTGAAAAACTATCTTAAGATGGGCCCTTTATAAATTTCGCACAGGACCTCTAAAATCTCAAAGACCGACCTAGCCATTGACTCTACTTTGGCGTACCGTTGAACTCAAACCAAAAGTATGCTACTACCTCATATGATATTGGAGTTGCATGGAGAAAGAAATTAGTTTGTATTTTAACTTTGTCAAAAAGTGGAGCATTGGTCTTTCACAAACCTCGTGAGAATTTCTTTTAAAATTGAGGATGTGAAATGCACATAAATCACTTTTAAGATCAGAAGTAGCGAAATGCTAAGGAGACTCTCTACCGCTTTACTGATTAATGTCAATTCCCGTGCTCACATTGTAAAATATTTTGGTAGAAAGTCCATGGAAAGTCACACTTTCGAGAATCTCCTTAACATTTCTCTTAGAAGTAAATCAAGAAACTGCACAAATGTCCCTATATTTTAAACAGAAATATTCTTACAAAATTGGTTTGAAGGACCAATCCTTTGCGTTTTTGTGAAATTCAAATACCATATTAACACCACATCCCTTAGTATAGATAATATCGTTTGTTCAAAAAAAAAAAAAAAAAAAAAAAAAAAAAAAAAACCACCATTTGTTATCGAATCCATATATTTACACGGCAGCCACATTCACCGATCAGGACAAGAAAAGAGGATGGTTGCAGAACGGGGGAGGTCAGACAGGCATAAGTCTCGCCGGACAGTTCACTCTCATCACCGAAGATTTAATCGGCACCCGTGAAAAACCTCCACGATGGTAACAATATACCTACAAATGGGAATGAACTAGGATTGGACTTTGCATATCCTGCTTTGCATTCACGGGTAGATAAGGCGCATTCAACATGTCACATAGCAAAAGCAAATTACTTTTCCCCCATGCTTTTTGGAACTCCAAGTCTGCGAGGGCCAAAACGGCCCTCGACCCTCGACCCTCCAGCAATCAGCATGGTTTTAGAAAAATTTATCGGTCACCGTTATTCAACTAGGGATAATGCACAATCATACATGATCTTTTGGCCCCATTCTTGGATACAAAATGATGCCATAATTGTAGCCATCAAGGAAGGATCAGCCATCTCTGCTGTACATTCAAACTAAGAACCCTCAAACACATAAGAGTACAGAAGGAAGCAAAAAAACAGGCATCTTTGTGAATAGAAAACAGCAAGAAACCTCAGCACAGATTAAATTCACCATAACCAGATGAATACATGGTCTGGTTACCTCCTTCAGCAGCCGATTCAGCTTTGCACGTCCTAGGGCTTCCCAGGGCATAGATTCCCGCATACTGTCTCCTTTTTCTTCTTCAGCATTTGCTCTCCCTGCAATAAAACATGTATAAAAGAAAAGTTAACTACAGAAGCAAAATGATATCAGATAGAAGACTACAAACCTAAGTTGTGAAACGATCAGAAATTGAAAGAATACATCAGATAATTGCATAATATCAAAGAAGGATATAGAATTAAAACTGCTCATTATTCTTATGCCACATACAGTAAAACCTTATTCCCATACATTGGTCCAAGTGCCAGGGAACATAAAGGTAAGATCAAATTCAGTCTGATATCGAACTCCCAATACCAAGTATAGAGTTGGAAACAACTACAAAAGCTCTGCTCAGGACACAATGTCATTCTATAAATTTCACCTCCCCCGGGGCCCCATCAAACAAAAGAAAATGAAAAAGGAAACTTGGCACAGGTTATCTATTTGAGACCAACCAGGGCATACGAAGGCCTTTTGTCAATTCTTAATTTCCAAAACCTGTGTATCCGTTCACTTACTGTAGTTATTTTATTTTATTTTTAAAGAAATAAATCCTTTAAATACTACAACCTCAGATCACATCGGAATCAACAGAAGTAGTTTAAAGTTTGTAACAAAGCAAGCTTAAGCAGAACTTCAAAGATCAGTGCAATTAAATTTAATCCAGGTCCATCGTTACCTGACAACTTCATAGGTTATCAAAGGTGGAGAGATCAAGGTGCATCTGGTCATGAGAGGAAAGATCAAGTTGCATATCCAGTTGCATATGGTCGTGGGTGGAAAGATCAAGTTGCATCTGGTCATGGGCGGAGAGATCAAGGTGCATATCATGATCATGGGAGGGGAGAACAAGTTGCATCTCCTGATCATGCGCTGTGGCACTGGTAGAAATGCTAAACTGGATAGACGGAGTATAGTTGAGCTGAGATGGAGTATAGTTGAGCTGGTAATTTACAGGTATTGATCCGAAGATCTTGAATTTTCCAGCACTATCAATAGCAACCTCTGCATCAGAACATTTCTTGAAAACAACTCTAGCACGACTGCTCTCCCTATCAACTTCTGTTTCAGCTTCTTTCAGAGGTCCAAAGCGCCTAAACATTCTATTCAGCTTTGCTTCTGAGGGAACAGAATTCACCTCAGAGAAGTTCATAACAAGTTCTGTTGGGGCATTCTCATCCACATAGCCAACAGGTTTCTCTGGCGGCAAAGCATTAATGGTTTGGGA